TTGCAGACTGTCTTGGAAGTTTGAAGTAGAGGCCGACTCTGACAATCGGTCACTCTTCTTCTTCTCTAGCAGTAGCCGAGCGTCTGTGTATGATTTCCTCGACCCGTCCGCCTGAATATGACGAACAGGTTTCCTATTTCCTGGAGTAGGAAAACGGTATTTTGTGAAATCAAGGGCAGTCGGCTCCCGCTTCCTAGATTTAGGATGAGGAGTCGCCTCTCGCCCTTGAACTGGCTTCCTCTTCAGTGAAGTGGAAGGTTTCTTAGCCGACTGCTCCTTGTCCAGAGCAGGCGGCTTCTTGTTGATCAACTCTTGAATTTCTCCCTTGAAGTCCCTCATGAAGGTCATGAGTTCGTTCCTTGTGATGGGAGCAGACCCATCAGTCGGCTGCTGCCGAACAGGCGGTGCGCCTGCTGGCTCACTTCCAGTTTGAAGATGTTCCCGTTCCCTCCTTTCGGTATGATGGGTACGTCGGGCCCTTAGGGTCCCGTCTGAAGTTGTATGAGCTTCAACTTCAAATTCACTCTCAGTATCGTGGTCCGACTGAACTTGAGGGTCGTCTAGGGGACGCCTCTCTTCAGGAGTCGGTACTGACTTGGATGCCATCTCAGAAGTACTCTCCCCACAGACGGCGCCAAATGTTTCGGGGTTTTCTGATGTCCTGCGGGAGAGTTACAATTCCGAGACTGGAACCGGACGCCTGTACCTGCAAAACAACGGAGACTCCTGGTGGTGGGAGCTCCGCCTCCAACGGTCAAGTTAGTACTTGATTAAGGAGTAATTAATGCGGAAATTAAAGTGATTGGGTCTCTCTAGGTGAGAGTGTTTAATGTAGGTAATCTGCTTTGTTAGCATGATCAGCCTGTTATCTCCGTAATCCCCCTTAATGAGGATTAAGGAGGTATTTATAACCTTGGGAAACGTGCCAATCCTAGGTTTAGGTTAACCTAGGGCTGATTGGGCTTCCCTCTGAAGTTGGGCCTGGGTGGCCGGTTATCCCAGGTGTCATGGGAAGGACACGTGTCGTGTCGTAATTGGTCCAAGGTGGACGGATCATTGCTTGACACGTGGTAGGCTCCTATTGGCCCATGTGACGGACACATGGAGGAACCTGATTGGTCCACTTGTCAGATGGTAATTGGTGGGAGCAAAATCCCCTAATCAGTACTATTACTCGTAAGGATGTCAAAATATTGACACAAAATTACAGAATTATGTAAATATTGTCGTTAAGTCATGAAATTTTATTTTGTCAAACATTTATGTTCTTGAAATTCTTGTTTGCTCTGGTATGTTAAGCTTGCCCAGAGAACTGATTGGTTGCCTCCAGTGTAAGTTGAACCAATCTGAAATACAAAAGCAACAACACATTTTTTTCACTTCCAATTATATATTTACAGTATTGTTAAAGAAAATAAATTGAAAAACCCTAATTTTTATTATAACGACTAAGGTGACCACCATCTCTTTCTGCTTATATTCACATTTAGGGAAAATACTTATTCTAATCCTTTTATTGAATTTGTGTTCAGTTTGCATTTGACATAAATTGACATGCATAAAATTTTTGTCAAAAGAAGATTTGAATACTTAGATGTATGTCATGCCTGCCCTACATTGGTCAATGCATCAATCCAACACAACATCAAAGTCAAACATGTTATTGAACAACCTATGCGAGAATTTTAATGCTGTGTTGAGAGAGGCTAGAGATAAACCCATTATTACATGCTTAGAGTAGATACATAGGTATGACATGAGAAGAAATTCAGAAAAGTGGGAGGGTATACAGAGTTACAAAGGAAGATTTATGCCTTATGTAGAGAAGGTCTTAGGGTGAGTAAGACAAGCAACCAAGGGCTTGATGAGTGGGAGGTGGACACCACTGACGACATGGGTGTTGTTAATTTAAGGCTGAGAACATGCACCTGCAATATATGGATGTTGACCAACATTCCATGTCATCATGCATGGTCATGTATTGTAGCAAAAAGGGAGAAACCAGAAGATTATGTCGATGACTTCTACTATGTTAATCGGACACGGCTAATATCGCAAAGTGGTTGTGTCAACACGACACATCACGACACAAACACGGGACACATGTTCGATCCTTCATTGTGCACTCGGAAACTTCCATTAAAAGAAGAGGAAAAAAGAGAAGAAACATGAAAAAAACAAATCTGGTTCAAAACCACTATTAATATAGAGAAGATGGAGAGAAGAAGATTGCCATTTATTTTGGAGAATTTATCAAGGAAATAATTAAAAAAAAAATGGGTAGACAAAATGAAAAATTTAATGCTTTTGTAATATATAATTTATTTATATTAATTTAAGTGACATATTCAAGAGTCCCCGTACCCGTGTCCCAATATCAGACAGAGTTCCTGTGTCCTAAAATTTTGGAACTTGTTGGATTGGAAACTTGGACATGTGTCCGTGTCCGATACTCGTTCCTGAGTCCATGTAACATAGGACTTGAAAGAGTCCCCGTACCCGTGTCCCAATAATACTTGAAAGCCTACTCTGCTTACATTAAACTAATACGGGAGCCTCTAGCGCCCGTGATAAAAAACATGCCTGGAAGGCCAAGCTTGAAGAAGAGAAAGAAGGAGGCAGGGTCACATGTGAGGAGGAAGAAACAAGGTTTGTGAAAAAAAGAGGGGGGGGGGGGAAGCCTAATAAGTATAGCAATTGTGGACAACTAGGGCATAAGAAAGTCACATGGAAAAATCCAACTCTTCCTAAGCCACCATCAAAGAGGGAGGTAGGCCACCATCAAATGACTCTTGGGTGGTTGCAATTAGGAATAGAAAAGAGGCAACGATTGGCTTACCACCCTTATCACAATCAAGTCAGTCAGGTAGCAACCATGTAAGCACTAGCTACACACCTCTTTCACATAATACCAACCATTCAATCCAACAAGAAGTACCATAACCAAGCAAGCTGCCTACAAAGTCCACCACCAAGAAGAAGAAGAAGAATTGAGGGTTTAAACCTACTCAATTAATGTTGATTTGGAACAGAACATTACCATTTAGATTTGTTTGTTACTGGGCATTTGCATAACTTATTGCTCCTTTTTGTTAAGCTAAGATATTTTAAGTGGATGTGAATTGATGTTAATTATGATGGCATTGTTTCCCTTATTTTTAAGATGTGATTTATTTGAATTGTGATAAATTATTTTTAACGTCGGTTCGTCTTCCTTTAATTTTGATAGCATGAATTACCCTATTTGCATACTTCGTATTAGAAAATAGCATGCAGATTATTTTACCCAAAGTACAAAATTCATAAATAAATATGTAAAAGTACATAGCCCCTGCTTCCCCCCCCCCCCAAAAAAAAGTACATAGTCTAAAATAATGTATAATTTACAAACATCTGCAATAGAACAATAAATATGCATCGTCATTTCACTCATTTTAGGAGAGAATAGCAAAAGTGGGGCCTAAAAGATGGAAAAGTTAATTGTTTTGTTAGTTAGTGGTGCCTAGCGCTAGTTGATGTTTTTAAAAAACTTTGGAGGTTTAATTAATTTTTTTTTCAAAAAATAAAAATAAAATAAAGTTCATGGGAGTACCTTTAAAAAAAGTAGCAACTAAACCCCGTAGTGACTTGTCTGTTATGACTTTACTTGAAGGTAAATATATGCTACTTAATTTTTAGTTCAATGATTGTTCTAAAAGGTGATTGCTTTAATTATTGTATAGAATTTTAGTGAGGTTTGTTTTTTCTTCTCTAAATTATGAATGGCGATCCAAATCTAATACAAAATATTCATAAACCAAGTATTTTAAATTAATCCTTATTATAATTCTAAAAGCTGTAATTAGAAATATAACTCATTATATTTACATGTGAATCAAAAGGTATGTTATTTGATTCCATGTGATTATCGCCAATCATCCACAATCTGTGGATGATGTGGTGATAAACGTTGTACTCCCAACTTGACCGAATTTTTCCGCACGCTTTCATCTCCTTCGTCAAACTATATATATATATATATATATATATATATATATATATATATATATATATATATATATATATATATATATATATATATACTTCCTCCGTTCTGTTAATAATGCAACAAGGAGGAAATTACGCATCCCGAAGCACCTTTTATATGCTAAATATCTTTGTGTAAGAGTAAAAATTATAAAAAGTTGATATTGTGAAAGTATTTTATGAGACGAATCCAACAAGATCTCACTTGACTATATTTTGCTTAACGTATAACTCATATTATATGGTCAAACAAGAGTGATGAATAGTGCAAAAAGCCCATTGTTGCAATATTAATAGAACGGAGGAAGTGTATATATATATATAATGGGAATTATTAAAAAATAAAATAAAAATTAAGACGTACATATACGTAGAATATACAGATTTGCCTAGATGCATGCAGTTGTGTCCAACTTGTAGGAAGAGTAGGTTTCAACAATCCATCAATAGTGTTTTGCCTTGGAGCCTATTTTTTAACCTATTTAAAATAGATTACTATATAAGTTTGCATTATTTTTTTTAAAAAAAAAATCTATAGATATACTTGTTATTAACGGATGGGTAATTTTTCACAAGTATTATTTTGCCAATTTTTCCTAATATTTTTCTTAGGAATAATTGTCCGGAATAATCCCACCTTTGCCTCATCTGACTAAAATAACCCCACCTTTTATGTTAATCCGATAAAAATGGTCCAAAGTGACTATTAACTTGTTAAATAAATTTTTTTGTTTGTTTGTTTAAAATACACGGCCATTATATAATTTGTCTAAAATTTTAAATTTTTTAAAAAATTGAATTTTAAAAAAAACCACATCCTAGCCACTTCCCATCAGCAAAATCCCCACCGAATTGCCAAATTGCAGCCCCTACCGCAGCCGTTGAATTACAACCCTAGCCACCGCAATGTTGTCATTATTGTGGGTGGTCGCTCTATAATTCACACCCGAAATCGGGGTGGGGAAGGTGAGGAAGGTTGAAGTGGAGGCAGGGGAAGGGGCGGGGGCTGGGATCAGGATGAGGAAAGGGATTTCGACGATAGGGAGTGATTTTAGTGGGATATCGTGGGGGAGGGAGGGGGGTTGGTGGTTCATGGGAGAGGATAGGGAAAAGGGGGCGTCGGAGGAGGCAGGTCTGGGTGGTCAAATTCGCGGCGAAAGGGAGTCAGGCAGACTAGCCGGTGGCGGAGAGGGTGGCTAGTGCTGGTGGGGTGATTCTTTAAATAATAAAATTTTTGTTAATCTTTTCTTAAAAAAAATTTAACATTTTAAAAAATTTTAATTTTTAAATTTAATAATTATTTTTTTTAATTATCATAGGCCGACACGTGTATTTAACTTGTTAGCACTTTAGATGACCGGTTGGAACTACATTAAAAGTCGAATTATTTAAAAATAATTAAAATGTGAGATTATTTTGGGCGAATAAGACAATAGTCGGATTTTTCCGGGCAATTTTACTTTTTTTTTTTTTTAATTAATTTCTTCTTCTTTATATTTAATTATTTTTCCTATTTTGGAGCCTTTTCACGCTCACTGTCTCTCTCTATTCTCCATTGAAGCGTACTCTCAAGTCTCAATTCTCCATCGCCTTGTAAGCTTTCTCTCCTCCATTGAACCAGTTTCTGAGGTAATTCTCTCTCTTTGTTTCCCGACAAGGCGACAATCATTGAACGTCAATTTCACAATTTAGTGTTAATCGTGAAATCTAAAATTCAGTATAGTCAATTTAGGGTTCTTCTAAGGTGGACTATCGAACTATTGGAAGTTGATTATTGAACTATTGGTTATAATCACTGATGTTATGAAAGATTACAACGAATGATTTGTTGCTACTAGTAGAAATTTGCTATTTATATTTCTAAGTAAGAAGAATTTTATGTGATTTATTTATTTATTATTTATTATTTATTATTTTTTATTTTTTGAATTGAGTCAAATTCGGCTGTTAATGTGTTGCAGGCTTAGTTTAGGTAACCCTTTAATGTTAGGACAGAATTGTGAGAATGAGGTATGCCCGGTTGTAATGGAAGAAGTTACTTTAGAAGACGAGTCCGAAGATGAGGATGTGGATTTTAATCCCTTTTTGAAGGAGAGCCTTTCGGAAGAGGCTTCGTCGAGCTTGAGCTCGGAAGTAGACGGGTTGGATATTGATGTTGTTAATAGTCATGTTGAGAATGTAGTACCTGTAGATACTCATGGTTTATTCAAGGGGATGAATGATGTTGTTCATGAGGGGGAATGTGGTGATGTTAGTAAGAGGGATTCGGAATTGATTTTGAATCAGGAAAATGATAAGGTTCTGGAAAAGGAGAATGGGTTGAATAGTGGAGCTGATGGTGTCGAGGATGTAGGGGAGGCAGACATGGGATTGATTAGTTCCAGGAATAAACCCGTGATTGATTTGGATGATGAAGATGCTATTTGTAGAAGGACTAGAGCTCGGTATTCTCTTGCTAGTTTTACGCTCGATGAGTTGGAGACATTCCTACAAGAAACTGATGATGAAGACGATATTCAAAATGTTGACGAGGAAGAAGAGTATAAGAAGTTTCTTGCCGCAGTTTTGAATGGAGGGAATGGGGATCAGGGGAATCTAGCGGGTAATGATGATGACGATGATGAAGATAATGATGCAGATTTTGAGATTGAAATTGAAGAAGCACTTGAGAGTGACATTGATGATTGTGTAGTGACACCTAATAAGGATGAGAGATTTGAGAGAGCTATTCGGCGTCCTGAGACTAGACGAAAGGGACAGAAAAAAGCCAATGCCCAAAATAAAAAGAAGGTTATGCAGCAGGAAAATAGGCCCTTACGTCCACTATTGCCTGTGATGTCCAGTGCATCTTTTCCGTGTCTCGGTCCTAGATGTGTTGCACTTGAGACTTCTTTGCAGTCCCCCCAGTGTGATCAAGGGGTTTTACCGAATGGATTCCAGCCTCATCAAATTGGGCAACTACATTGCATAATATATGAACATGTACAACTCCTTGTCCAAGTATATTCACTTTGTGTTCTTGAACCGTCCCGGCAGCATATTGCATCACAGATTAAGGGCCTTCTGGCAGAGCTGCTTCACAAACGGGACCTAGTACTATCCTGGAGAAATGGGCCATATTCCATTTCTTGTTTTTACCCCTCATCCACCTGCTCATCTGTTTCAGTTGAAAATAAGGACTCTAACGTATCACCTAATGATGGTCAGGTACTTTTTTCCTTAACTATTAGTAGATGAAAAATGTACCTTTAAATTTGTGATGGAATGTTAAAACTGTAATAAAGAGAACTTGGTTGCCTTATTCAGGGCTGTCGATGGTCACCAGTTGTAGGTGATTCTGTGCTATCAGTTTTGGATGTTGCACCACTTAAGCTAGTTGGAAGATATATTGATGATGTTTCTAAAGGTAACTAGCAGAGCTATGGGATTAGCAAGTAGAGAGCTTTTTCTTATTTCTTTTCTTTTTTTTTAAAAATTTAATTTAATTAAATAATTTATTTATTTATTTTTTGTTGTTGAAAAAAGTAAATAGCTTATATGATACTTGGTTGATTAGTTCTTGTCACTTCTTTTTCCAGCTGTACGAGAGCATCAACGACGCTGTGTGGAAACTACTAATACGTTTTTGGAAAAGCAGCCTCTTTTCCCCCTTGCTATTCAGTCTTCACCTGAAGTGGATCATAATGTTTCTAAAGGAGATGGCCCATCTTCAAATACTTGTGAAGTATCACCAAGTAATAAAGGGCCTAAAAAGACATTGGCTGCTACCCTTGTTGAAAGTACCAAGAAACAACCTGTTGCCTTGGTCCCCCAACAAATTACTAAATTGGCACTGCCCTTTTATTCATTGTTTAATCCAGCATTATTCCCTCACAAGCCACCATCCCCAGCTGTTGCTAATCGAGTGCTTTTCACGGATGCTGAAGATGTGTAAGTCTTTTTTTTTTTTTTTTTCCTCTCAATTACTTGACTGCAAATTTAGTATCTTTGAGTAGTTTGGTTGTTTTATCAGTTTCTTACTTGTTATGTATAATAGTCAAAACTTGTATATTTTGATATATGCTGATAGTTTACTTTTAGGACTATCTTCATCGTATATTCTTGTTGCTACATTGTATGTAATATAAGTATCATTGAAGTCAATGGAAAACTGCACTTGTTTTAATGAAACCAAGGTGCTAAAATATGGGGCAATTTGTCCTGATTTTTGAATTTGAAAATCTAGGTTGCTTGCCATGGGAATAATGGAATACAATAACGACTGGAAATCTATTCAGCAGCGTTTTTTGCCTTGCAAATCAGAGCATCAGGTAAATGCTTGATTGCCTTCATAGCTTATGCTCAATAATTGTTATAATTGATCTATTGTGAACTTGTGCTCTACATTTGGTGCCATTGTTGAATACTCTTGTCTATGGCTAGAATTACCATCATCACTCTTGCCTGTGTGAAGCCTTGATGTGCTGGTTTGCTATTCATGAAGCCTTGATGTGCTGGTTTGCTATTCATCTTGGATGTGAACCCTGGAGGATTTATTTATTCGTGTTATGTGTTATTGCTTCTCTGTAGTTTCTTTATCCAAAATTCCACAGATGGTTTTTCAAAAATTATAAATAAAAATTCCAATCCATCTGTTGCAAACTTTTAATCTTTCTGTAACTATATGCTTGCCTCTTTTTGCATAAATGTGAAACATATATTCATACTTGATTTTATACTTGAGAGTTGAGATGCTCCAGAATTTTTTTACTGAAGGTTGATGATTGAATTATTTGATTGGAAACTATCACATTTGGCCAAGTTTTTGTGATTGTTGTGATATTAGTTGTTAGAAAAACATATACAGAATAAAATAGAGTAACTTTGCTGTTTATATTGGAGATGGTTGGAGCTCTTGGAAGGATGGAATACTTGGTTACTGTATATGTGCGAGACAACCATTGCATTTTCTTTTTTCCCTACCTATAATCTACTTCTATTCTGATTCTATGTGTAGGACATATTTCTCTCCTACTCTCCTACTCTGTTGATACTCTTTTTCATGTAGGCACTATCATTTTAAAGCAAAGATGGCTTACAAGTGAAACTTTAAATTTTCTTGTGAAACTCTAGGAGTTAATCTTTTTTCTGGATGGGAAGCTGGATACTCTTTGGAAATCAACATTCTCTTACAATTTTTTTTTTTTTTTTTAAATATTTATTTTCCTGGTATTCCTCCATATTGTTATTTCCTTGTGCATCTTAGTAGATGATATTGTGGTTTGAGGAGAGAGAGCTCATAAAAAATATTGTGCTTTGCCAGGTCATTTACAGCTTGTTTAGATAAGTTTTTAGACAGGAAAGAGAGGGTAGGGACACTGAGACTATTAAACCCTTGTTTGGATATCAAAGAAGATGAGGGGAGGGAGGGTGAAGGAAATAGTCGGATCTCATATTCCATATAACTATGTATGGTGATAAAGTATTTAAAATGATACCTTGTTTCTTGTTTTTCCCTTAGCAATAATTTCTAAGTCTCTCAATCTAGATTATAAAGTTAAAGAAAAAAATGAAAATTAATAATCCCACCTTTTGGTGGTCTTCTTTTAATAGTCCCACCTTCAATTAATCTCAAAATAATCCCACCTTTGCTCCTTATCTTCTTAAAATGGTCCTTTTTACCGATTACTTATTAAACAGGTTAAAATCATCTTCTTTTTTTTTTTATTATTATTATTATTATTTTTTTAATAAGGGCCTTCTACCACCATTACCAGATTTACCACTACCACCATCACCAACAATACCAAGACTTCAAGGGCTCATCAACCAGGCAACCACCACCAGCAAAGCCACCTCCTTCTTCGCCACTTGCCAGCCATCAAAACCCACTTGGGAATCTCACAAGTTCTTAACCCAAACTGAAAACCCCAAACCGGATTGTTCCCACCACTTGAACCTACCACCAGGACCACCTAAAGTCCTACGGTACCTACCCCACTGAATCCCAAAACCAGACTGTACCCAACCCGAAAACCCACCCAACACCTAAAATCCAACCCTCCCTCCATCAAAATCTACCTCACACTAAAAACCCACAACATAAAAACCCCACCCAACTCACTCTAAACCCGTCCCACTAATACAAGACAGGCTGGTGGTGCAGGGGTGTTTGTTAATGACGACGAGAGTGGTGAAGGAGAGGAGAGAGAAAGGACGGTGGAGGGGGCACAGACGCTATGGACGGTGGTTTTGAGTAGGCAGGGGTAATAGGATGGGGGAGGTATGAGAGAGAAAGCTTTTCTAATAATTAGAATTAAAATTAAAAAAGCTAACTAATAGAAATGTGACAAGTGTTAAGTTAACCTATTAACCTGGTTAACAACCCATCAAGGACCATTTTGAGTAGAGGAAGTTCAAAGGTGGGATTATTTTGAGATTAATTAAAGGTGAGATTGTTTAGAAAAGACCACCAAAAGGTGGGATTATTAGTTTCCATTTTTCCAAAGTTAAATCATTGACGGTAAGTAGAATTTGCTCAACAGCATATATATATATATAAAATCTAATAGAGGAAGAGATTATGTCAAACTCTATCAATCTAGATTGTCAAAATGGAAGACAAACTGACAACAGCCGCAAATTTACCATCATCAATGGTTCTCTCTCTCTCTCTCTCTATATATATATATATATATACATATATATATATATATATATATATATATATATATATATATATATATATATATATATATTAAATCTAATAGAGGAAGGGATTATGTCAAACTCTATCAATCTAGATTGTCAAAATGGAAGACAAACTGACAACAGCCGCAAATTTACCATCATCAATGGTTCGATTTCGAATTAAGCAATACCACGTGGGGTCTAATTGATCTTTTGATTGCTGTTAATGGTGGCAGAGTCTCTGGGTTAACGGAGCAGGTGGTGAGGTGAGAGGAAATCCAGCTGGAGGAATTACATCCATGGTACAGAAAGAGAGGGTTGGGGGTAGGAGAAAAAAAGTTTTGAGGGTTGAATCGCTTGAATGTGTTGTTGTGAAGGGTTTTAAGCATAGTAAAGTTAGGGCATACATGTCTTTTCCTGTTATTGTGTGTTTTGCTCTCATTTGCCTTCCAATTCTTTTAAAATTTGGAGAGCCTCGTTTCTTAGAAAATAAGGAATAAAATCACCTCCATCTCTCCCCATAATATTCTATACAAAGAATGGAAAATATATTCCTTCCTTTCTCCTCTCTTTCTTCCTCTCTAAATCTCAACTACCCAAACAAGTTTATAATATGAGATTTTATATGTCTGTACTCCATTCTATTTTTTGCATTTTTGTGCCATTTTTTTGTAAAAAATAATTGGATCTATGTTGGTTTTATGTATATAATCTTGAGTGAGTTGAGTCTTAACTAATAGAGTTGTTTACTATGTTTCTCTTCTGTGTTAGTTTGTGTTTATCTGTTCTGTCTCTCTGTTATCATCTATGAATGACATACAATAGTACGACATGATTGCTGTGCAATTATATTTCCTATTAGCTTTCTGGAGGATTTTTTGTCCTTGTTGGGTATACTGTCCAAGCTCATATTTTCTGGAATCTCCTCTCATAAAAAGATGTACTTCCTTCGTCCCTATATGCATGCTTCATTTTTACAAGGTGTCTCTAAAGAATGTTCCATTTCCTTAATAAGCATGTGGTATTGTGGTCCCATTATTTAACTCTCTCATCAAGAATATGGTCATACTATTTTACCTAATCATCAAAATCACTTAACGGAATTTTTAAAACTGTGCAATATGACTTGGAGCATACATTAAAGGATGAAGGGAGTACATTGTATGATTAGTTTACTTTTATTACTTCCTATGTCAAATATATACATAAAATGTACATTATTACTATTATTATTATGTAGTATTATTTTTGATATACTATAATATAATTGATACATGACAATTCTATATGCCACAGATTTTTGTAAGGGCAAAAAATCGCTGCTCAGCTAAGGCACCTGAAAATCCAATAAAGGTATTAACTCAATATTGCCAATGCGGTAAATTATGTGTTTTCGATCCAATCTTTTTGATAGCTGCCTATCTTTGACTTTGGTCTGTTTTGTTACCCACTTTTCTATTTGATCTTGGCATCTTGATTTGATAGAGATGTTTATCAAAACAGTGTCGTTAACTTTCCCTCCATGTTCGTAGTTTCTCTTACCCCCCTTTAGAGATGCTATATATATGTGTTTTACTCACCAGCAAATGTATTACTGTTTTTTTTTTTTTTTTCCCTGTGAAATCTTGGTTTGACAAAAACATATTTGCTTCCCCTTTCTCATTCTTTGAATTGCCCCTGTAGTTCCATATCCCTTTGTTTGACATTTGTAAATTCACGGTAGCTTAGAATGAAATTGAACCTTAATGAGTCAATACTGCTAGTAAAATGTTGTTCATTTGGGTGTATTCTTACAGTGAGAAGGAAGAATTGATGTGGTAGGTTTAGTCTTGAGTGTGATTCCAGGTGATTATCCGGGTAGGAAATGATCTACCTAGCAACACTTTTTTATGCTGAGGACAACCTAATGCACCCTGTAGTTGGTAGACCAAGACTCTGCATCTAGGGCTAATGCCTCATGCTGTTGAATGATTTTTAACATAGATGATTTTTTGAAAGCTTTGGTACTTGACTGTTCTACTATGGATTTTTTCGAATAAGGTGAGAATATGGTCACGAATCCTCACCTCCAAATTTCAGGGCTCCATGATTTGGGTGAGGAGCATAGTGGTTTTTTTTTTTTTGGTCTTGTTATTTATTAAAAATATTATGTGGCTTGTGCATAAAAAGTGGGTTTCAAACTAAAGTCTTTGTATACTTCCTCCGTTTCTTTTTAGTTGACACATTTCATTAGTCACGTTTGCCAATGCACAAATTCAATCATTAATATCTTTAATTACCGATAAGCAAAAATTGTATAAAGTTGATATTTTGAAAATATACATTGTGACGAATCTAACAAGATCCCACTTGACTATATTTTTCTTTATATGTAAATCACAAAACATGGTCAAAGGGAGGTGTGGAAATAGTGCTAAAGTCAAAACGTGTCAACTAATAAAAAACGGAGGTAGTATATTTTATGTTTAGGAAAAAATGACAAGAATAATCCCAACTTTGCCTCATTTGCCCAAAATAATCCCAACATTTGATTATTTTTTAATAATCTGAACTTTAATATAAATTTGCTTTCAATGGTATTAAGGCGGGTGGGCGGTGGGAAGGCAATTGGGTATTAAGTAGATGTCAGTGGATTAGGATTTTGTACTTGCCACATGTGATACTCAGGAATGAGAATGAATTCTTTAATATACTTAATTCCCTTAAGGTGTTTAAAACTGTGTAAAGGAGTTTTTGTTCTGGAAAATAGTGTATGCATCAATGTACACAATATTTTCTTTACTCGAATTTATTAAAATGAAAAAAGATCACTTTCTTAATAAATTTTCCTTTGCTCTTTAGTATTTTTACTTAACCCAAAAACTCTAATTTCTAGTTTTTACCTCTTCAACTTATACGTCCCCAATTTTCAGTTACGTGCAATATTTGACTTTTTTTGTATTATTCAATTATTATCTTTGATGAGTTTGATCACTAATATCTTTACTTATGTAGTATAAATAAAATGTAAGAAGTTAGATTTTCTGAAAATATACATTGTGATCTACCTGATAATTACTGAAATTTGGTTTTTTAATTTCTTAAAAAATGAGGTCTAACATTTTAAAAAAAATTGGTGCAAAAGAGTCAATTGCTGGGTATAATTTGAAACGGGGGGAAGTTTAAAACATTGTCCTTTTGACAGTTTTTGTGGGATCCATATTTTTAGTTCTGATATTGTAACTAATTTCTTATTAATAAGGTTTTTAAATAGATTTCCAATTAATAAGTTAATATCAAGAAATTCACTATTTCTCATTAAACTTAGGAAAATTTGAAGCGAATGATTCCACCTTTTCCACTTCTGCTCAGAACAATATCACCTTTTCTATATTTGGAAACAATCCCACCTTCGACCCCATCTGCTCAAAATATTCCCTTAACCGGTTTTATGTGGCTTGGCACCTTTCACTTTCTGACTGGACTTATTTTTTTATAATAGAAAATAAACAAAATTAATTAAATAAAAAAATTGCCATTTTTTTTTCTCTCTTCTTTTTCTCTAGCCACCATTTTCCATGGCCTCGGCTCCGGCTCAACTCTTGTTATCTCCTTCGCATCTTCCACTGTTTGCGGCATTGTCGCTAGTGAATCCAACCGCTGTATAGAGTGTTTCAGTAACAGTCGATTAATTTCAATTTTACACCGCCATTGCAAGTGGTGTGAGCTTTTTTTGTGGACTTAGATCTGGAGGAACAAGCATATTGTGTTTGGATACAACTATAATCACTGTAAATTCGTCTACGTTTACCCCAAAAAGAATTTACTATAGTAACACTTCACCATTGAAAGAGATTTCAGGTGGGGATTCTCAGGTTTGTGGGGGTAATTAATGGAAAAAATGAGGTATCACGGGACCCAGCTTTGCCCACTTCCTCGCTAATTCTATGGTGGAGGTTGGGTTTTGGGGTCCGGTGAGAGGGGATGGGGTTTGGACTGCTTGGTATTTTGGGGGAGGGGGTAGCGTTTTCGGGGAGATGGGTTGGAGTGTTCAGGGTGGCTGCCCAGTTGGGGTGGCTGGGTCAGGTGAGGTTTAAGAAAAATAAATAAATAACTGGTTGGCTGGGTCAGGTCAGGTGGTTATCGAGGAGTGGTGGTGGTGGTGATATTGGTGGTTATGAAAGGGGGTAGGAGGAGAGATTTTTTTTTTTTAAAAAAAAATAATAATATGATGAACAGGTTGGAGCTGGACCATTTTGAATAGATGAGTATCAAAGGTGGGATTGTTACCAGATTACTCAAAGGTAGGATTATTTTGAGCAAAAGTGGGATTATTTTTTTTCAATATTTCCTTAAAACTTATTTTTTCTATTTTGCGCCAAATAAATATTAAGATTTGTAAACTGTGTTTTGAGCAAGTGCTATTTTGTTTGCAACAGAGATCTATCTAGATGTATGATATGAAGTCTTCTTAAAATATAATGGTGTCAATGTGTCAGTTGTCGTTTAGGCCAAATTTAATAAACTACTGGTTGATATCAGCCAGTTGAAGCAGTTGGAGCTATGTAATCCGTGTTTTCAGTTGGACTTGAGTTGTGAGAAAGAGGGGGGGGGGGGGGGGGAGTCTGAATTCTTTTTATTGCCGCCAAGGAAACCCAAATTGGTGGATCATCTTGAAGGGTTAGCTTAAGCTTATCTGCGCTGCTCTATAATTTGATGGTATTTTTCATAGAGATTTGACAGTTTGAGAGAAATAATGAACATGGAAGTATTGCTTTCTTGGCTCAAATATAAAGTCTGATTAGCCAAAAATCTTTTGATTGAATATACAAGTCATTTCATTAACTAATGCACATTAGATGTCACTTATTAAAAATGGAACTTACATTATAGGTCATCTTATATATCAATACTATGCTTACATTACCATGGCAATTTTCAACTAAATTTGACAAAATTTTTAACATGTGAGAATTTGTATCCATCTTCTAGGATAGTTGCTCAATTCCATATTAAAACCTAAACTTTCAATAGTGCCGTGGTCATGAATAACTTAAAGTGGCTATGAAGTCTAATGATGTTCACAACTTCCTGCAGATCCTCTGTCATTAATTATTTACTAGTATCTAAGAGATTCCTCAGCACCCTGTTTTCCTCCCTATTTTATCTTGTTTTTCGGTTCACAAAAATTCCCTTTTGTAGAAGTGGACTGAGTTTTTCTCATATTTTTGCTTGGCTACATTTAGGCTGTAAGAAAGATGAAAACATCTCCACTCACAGAGGTCGAGAAAGCTCGTATTCAGGAGGTGATTCTATTTTCTTGGTTTTTTTTTTTCTTTTAAATTTATAATTTAAATATTTTATACTTTGTTTGATTTAAATCAAGACTGCCAATTTATACCTGGTGTCTTATTATATTGCTTGTACTTTTAAATAGGGACTCAAGGCATTCAAACTTGACTGGACATCAGTTTGGAGAACTATGGTTCCGTATAGGGATCCTAATCTGCTTCCTCGGCAGTGGCGCACTGCTATTGGAACTCAGAAATCATACAAATTTGATTCAGCTCGGAGGGAGAGACATAGAGTTTATGAGTCAAACAGGAGAAGAAACAAAGCTGCAGCTATGGATTACTCTCAGACTGGATCTGAGAAGGAGGTACTTTTCATGTCACCAGTGTGCTTGCTCTAGATACATGCAAACTATATGCACTCCTTTATCCTATCAAAAAAGAAAAGAAAAACTGCAAACACTTTTATGGAGACTAAGTAAGAAGGAAAGGAGAGGAGTATCTCATGCACATTTCACCCTCTTAACTTTAGTGTGCTTGTATAGGTTGTATCTGCTTGATGAATGAGAATGTGGCAATAGGTGATATTATCTCTTAATTTTACCTTGCTATCATGTTTGTTGAAGTCATCATTTGATTTCTAACAAATTGCTCATGTTTATGTAATTTTGTGAAGGCCTTTGGTGATAAAAAAAAAATGATAAGTCATTTTAGCACACAGCTAAGATGTTCGCGTTATAATTGTTGCAGCTATTTTATTGAACAACGTGGTCTTGATGTAGTCTTTTTGTCCAAATGTAGAAGCTTTGCCTTTATCTTAGCTTCCATTCAGTTGGTTCTTATGGGGTAAATTTTCATGTAGAAGTCTAGTTGGAGGAATTCGTTTGAGTAAATTGTTTGATGTATATTGCATATTAGGCATATTGTATTTTTTTTTCTTTTTTCCGTATTTTTAACATAATGAATTTTCTGGTTGCCAGAATGAAAGCGGAGAAGACTTTGTGGACAATGATAATGAAGCATATGTTCATGAAGCTTTTTTGGCTGATTGGAGACCCACTCTCTCTGGAGTGGATCCTTCCAAAATATCTTCCTCAAGCTTTAAGTTAGGATGTCTGCATGGAGATGTTCCGGTTGCTAGCTCTAGTGCCACCCAGAGTGGGGCAGATAATCATCGGAACCGAGAAATTCAAATTAACAAAGGTCATGCTTACAAGGGCTTAGCTGCTTCAGAAAATTCCCATTTAATACATTACAATTCTTTGCATCCCCACGTTTCTTCTAGCCAACCTCCACCTATTCCAACTTCAGAAACGTTTAGTGAATCGCTATCTCGGTCCCAAAGGGCTGGAAAGCCTAGCGTTTCCAATCTAGTTAAATTAGCGCCAGAATTACCCCCTGTCAAACTTCCTTCAGCAGTCCGTATTATATCTCAGGCTTCTCTCAGAAATACTCAGTTTGGAAGCTCCAGTGAGGTTTGTGCTTCTAGTCCCGCGCCTGCAAATTTAGTAAAACATGTGCAAGACAATACTATGATACCAAATCCCAATTTTGAAAGTTTGCCCTCGCAAAAAGATGGACTGTTGAAGAATGGAAGTCTCACTAAAGAAAGAGGCACAAAACTGGATCCTCAAATGCACCCTTTACTGTTTCGAACCATTGAAGAGGGGCATTTACCATGCTACCCTGTTAACAATCCTATGAGGATTCCTACATTTAGTTTCTTCCCACCAATGCAACATCAAATGAATGTTACTCTACTACGAAATCCTTGCCCTGCTGGGCCCGATGCTAGCTTAAAATTTTTGGGATCAAAAGAAAGTGCCTCAGCATCTTCCAGTCTAGATTTTCATCCCCTATTACAAAGAGCAAAAGAAATTCGTGCCAACTCTATAGACACTGGCATGACTGACTCTTTACTAAATACTGATCTGGAGCTTTCTAGGGATCAATATGTGGAAGATATTGTTTATGATGCTGGTGCAACTGCTGCACAAATGGCTGCTGCTACTAGACTTACTAGTCCCAATGCTGATGCAAATGATTTGGACTTGGATATCCACCTGAGTTCTGCATCTAAAAGGAGAGAAAATTTAAGCAAAAGAGATGAAATAAATTTGTCATTTCCATCATTAAGTGGGTCAAGTGTTGTTGAGAGTGTGACCATGCACGGTGACTCATCTCAGCTTGCTGAGCTCCAGCCTGCAGATCCTGTTGGTCAGAGGCATATGGAGATATCTATTCCTGATAATTCTTCTGCAGTTTCCAACACGGTTGATGGTAGTTATGGCTCATGTATTAATGATAATGTTAGTGTTCATCCTCCCTTGGAAATAGTGATGGAACAGGAAGAACTGAGTGATTCTGATGAAGAAATGGAGGATGTAGAGTTTGAGCGTGAAGAAATGGAGGATTCTGATGGAGAAGTGGGATCAGATGCCGAAGAAGTTATTAACATGCACAATAAGGTAATATTTTTCTTCTTACCTGATTAAAAACAACATTGCTGCTGTTTTTGTTGTACATATCTGATTTAGTTAGGTGTTAGTTCAGGGAATTACTAGATCGAAATGCATATGATGCGTGAATATTAACAAGCGTGTACAACAATTATGTTAAAACTTAAAAGCATACTTAAAACGTGAGGGTATTTTAGGTAGACACAAAACTCCTTGTGAGCTGGCTTATATAGTAGTGATTGTGGGGCTTATTTGTGTCACCTACTTTCCCCCAGCTTCCTTATTAATGCGGTTAATGGAAGATGTTTCTTTGTCAAAACTCAAAAGTAGTTGCCAGCTTGTCACATTGTCCTAACTCGTTTTATTTAGGGATTCAATATGGTTTTACTAAATAAGTTTTGTTGTTGCTGTGTCCCTCCAACCTTTTTTCATAGTACATAGTATCATTTCAGTGGGGTTATTTTGGGAAATCCAAACACGACCTATTATAATTTAGGAAGTATGACAACCTTTTCTTTAGCATCCCAAATTTGCTTGTGCTTACTATCTACAAATGAAGTATGTAGTAATTACTACTCTATTTCATTGGGTTGAAACTCCCAGAGTCCCAGATCATGCCTTTTCTTGGTCAATACTTTCTATGTGCATAATTTGTATATCTATGTGTTGCTTTATTTTTTCTGCATTTTTTGTGAGCAAGCTGTTGTTTGAAACTGTCCTTTGTATCCTATACCTCAATACATGACCTTAAGAGCAACTCCAATGGCAAGCTAATTTGACAATTAGAGCAACTCCAAAAGTCTCTAGCTTGGCCATTGGAGCTAAAAAATACAATTAGCTTGGCCAAGCAAATTAGCTTGTCTAAGATAATTTGCTTGACAAAAAAGTTTCCAAAATTATTGGAGATTAATATAAATAATTAAATTTGTAGGGGGCTAATTTAGAAAGTCAAGCTTATTTAATTAGCAAGCTAGTAGCGAACCATTGGGGCACAAAATAGCTATTAAAAAAGTTAGCTTGAAATCTTATGTGGCATGACAAGCTAATTTAACAATTAGCTTACCATTGAAGTTGCTCTGCTCGCCATGCCACATAAGCTTTTAAGCTAATTATCATTTTAGCTACTTTTTGCTTCAATGGCTAGCTATTAGCTTAGTAGTAGTTGGATAGAATATACATGAAAAGAGCTTAATTGGTGCAATGAGCATTTTATTTTGTCAAGTTTAATTCCTGCAAAGCTAATTTGCTTAGCCTTTTCTAGCTCCAATGGTCAAGCTAGTAGCTAGGGAATTATTGAAATTGCAAGCAAGTCCCTAGCTACAACCATTGGAGTTGCTCTTATCAGCCTATTGACATGGATTTTCTTTTATTAAACGTTCTTTAGTGGTTTCTCTACACTGCTTATGAAGTGTATTTCCCCCCCGGCAACATGAGGCAACAATAACACCAATTGCTGTTTTGGTAAACTGTGGCTCAGACAATACTCAGCCTTAATGACATCCTAACCCAAAGCAAAGAGGATATGGTGAACAGCATCAAGAACTTGATGCCTGTTTGCCATTTGTAATTCTCATCAAACACCCTCTAAAACAAATATGTGGATAAAGCAAGAAGGCAGACTATTATTTATGCCTGAGGTTTGGCTAGACCTTGCCTCGTATGCTTAGTTTGCTTTCAACATGTCTTGTTTGGTCTAGGATAGCCCTGACTCCCTGACTTTTGAGCATCCAAACCATTTAATTTTCTCTGTTCTTACTCCTTGGTTTCGTTCACTAGGTGATTCAGGAGCAATCACGTACTGTGTTGGGCACAGATGATCATGCCCAGCTTTTGAGATCACTTGCATCTGGAGTTTCTGAGCGGACTCGGTCTCAAAGAAAAAGATCTCCTAGATTGGGTTTGACAGGGACAGGAAAAGACCACTCAAAGGATTCCTGGTTAAGTTTGAATTCTCATGGCTCTCATTGCAAACCACTTTCAAGAACCAAAAGGGCAGAAAGCCCCTCTAGAGGAGGCCCAGTTTTATCAAGCCCCAACCGATATCGTAAGAAAGCAGTTTCGAGCTCAAAAGATGTGTCTTCAAGTGACAAACAAACTGATATTTCTCTGCAAGATCCCTTCTCCACACCATCAAGGAAGTCCAGAAAGCAGGCCTTAAAAAATTCCTCTCTTTGAAAGTTGGTGTCCCTGCTCTAAACTCCAGTTGTATAAAGAAGGATTCAAATATAGAACCAGTAGGTTTTATCAAAAATATAGTTGCTAACCAACTTGAATCTTCAGACAAGAAGGAACTGATGCATTGACAAGACAGTGAAGGTTCAGAATGGCAGGAAATCTATGGAGTTCAGGTATGCCCTCCGTTTAGTGGGGGGTTTTTGGTCGCCTTTTGAACAGTAGTTACTTGTACATTCTTGCACCTCCCTTTTTATAGGGGGGTTGAGTAGAAGATGCAATTGTATATAATGTATTATTGTATATATCATTCTTTTCATGATATGGATTATGATAGTCTTTATAAGGAATGTTTGTGTACATGTACAGGTTATACGGCTCATTTAGATGTGTTACAATATAAGAACGATGATGACGGGTTCTCAATGTTATTCAAGTCCTAGTATTCTTCTGTAGAAAAAATGATGATGCTCTTGTTTAAGTGGGCTTTGGGAGTCATTTGTAGGCTCTTCCAATTGAAATGAGAACTGTATGTAAACAAGGGCAGTAACATGTATTTTAGAGAGGGTTAGTTCCGTATGCCATAAAGCAGTTTCTGGGTTCCAGTTTGATTCGCCGCGATGAGTATTCACAATTGGACGTATCAAGAACTAAAGGTACAACTGTGTTAAAATTTCTTTTGGTGAAAAAAAGTGTGCTTGTTAAAGTTAAAATATATTCAATATAAATTTCTATAAGTTCACTACTTCATGTAATAAGTTATGTCCCTAGGAAAAAAAGACAAACATTTAAAAAAAATGGGATGTACAATAAAATATTATACTTCTGCTTTAAAGCCTAAAATGAACAAAAGTTACTCTATAATGAATGAAAATTACCTAGTATATATAAGTTATTCTGCTTATAAATCAAAGTTATTTAAGCTTTGTGGATAAAAATTACCCTAAATTCAACAAAAGTTACCTTGATGAGTAGTAATATTATGTACATTGGATGTATACAAAAGTTTTTTTTAAAAAAATGTAATAAGTTATGTTTTTTTTTTGAGGGGATGTAATAAGTTATGTTTTTAGAGAAGTTTAGACAATCAAACCCAAATGAGACAATTATAGTTAGAATAAGTTTAGATAAAATAAATTCTGCCAATATAATTTAAAACAAAATAAGATAAACCAAACAAAGTCTAGCTAATTTAGGGAACATTAAACCACTTTTTATTTTTATTTTTATCGTAAAGTCGTAGAAGGTACTTATACCGTTATAATGTAAAAATAAGTAATTTAGATTTATTTAAAAATATATTTTAGTTAGATTATACTAGATTTTTTTTCACCACAAAAAGTCAAAATTAAGGCTTTTAGTTATCTATGGGATTAGTAAAATCAACTTTACTCCAAAAAGAAAATGATATATAAATATTCTCGAATTTTCTAGAGAAGTAAGCATACTATTGCATGATTGGAAATTAAATGTTTCATGTGGTGCAAAGAGCCAATTTCCTATAATAGTCCTTTTTTAGGTTTTAAAAATGAGTAGCCTACATTGTCAAAAGGCCAATTGTGCATTATGATGTTTCTTCGATGTTTCTTCTCACTTGCTAAATATGTCTAATTAAATTAAACCATTGTACGATTAGCACATGGAAGCATAAACATTAAACAGGCTTAACATTGGTTTTGTCCCCATTCTTCTTTTTGGTCTGATTTTAGTTTTGCCATTAGTAAAACATATTAATGTTAATGCATGGGTCTACTTTAGTGTTAGTGGCCTTTCTTTAATTAGTTCAACAACATAATCATTTTATTAGATTTCTGTCGCAATTGAAACTATATTAATTTGACTAAATCATATATATAGACTTAATCAAACTAGTAAACAAAATTGTAAATCATTAACCTAAAGATTGAACAAACAAAAAATGGGCTTGATAAAAAATAAAAATAATAATAAAAAAACCCATAAAAGATTAATAATTCCGCCAATTAATTCTATGATTCACCACTGATTAATTATATAGGTAGACTCTTGAGTCTTGACTATGAATCATGTTATTTCTTTTTTATAAGATAATACGTATATTGATTGCAGTAGGTCTTGTATACAACGGATGTATTACATATACAATATAAAAAGACTTAAATTATGATCATGAAAGAGTCACTTCTTTGCGAAGTTAATCTTAAAGATAACTTTAAAAATTAATTTTTTAATCTTGTTTTAACACATTTGAGTAAAATGTAAATTCCTCCATTAGTGGCGCACTTTTATTCTTAAACTTTCCATTTTATAGCGGCGGATGTGCAAGAAAATTGATGAACGTGTAAATAGGAAGCTAAACTAGATAACTTGATCTTGCTATTAAGTACTGTAAATGAGAGAAAACAGCTTATCGATTTACATCGTTTTTAAAATTAGATTAGTCTCTTTACTACAATACCATACACAATATGTATATGTTCATATAATACACCTATCATTTTCAAATAAAATAAGTCTCTTTTGCTAATTTTAATCTTGCAAATGTAATGAGTAATTGTTCGTTCAAAAAAAAAAAAATGTAACGAATAATTGTAATTTAGCCTCATTTTATCTCTATTTTCATCACGATAATTTTAATTAGCAAGATTCATGTGTTAACAGCAAAAAACGACATTCCAATTTTTCATATGTGAATTCTTTGGTACAAGAGTATTATGTGCAAGTGCAACTTTGAACTTTGAATTTTACTATTGTACTAGGGCAGCTAACTGCGTTGCCTTTCTTGATGTTTATATTGGCCTGGGTTGTGTTTAAACTCTTCACGACATTGGATTTTTAGGGAAAATAGTTTGATAAATTAATGAAATGTGTATTTTGGGTTGTGTTTAAACTTTTCGCTTTTTTCCCACACTACTTTTTCAATTGTTTACACTTTTCCTTATCAAACATCATTCAATAGTGCAAAAACATCTACAAACATAATTAGGAATAGTTTAAATATAATTCAAAAATCATAGAGCACATATTATATACTAAATGAAGTAATTTAACATTGCATATGCATATAATAATGGAAAAGTTTTGCGAAACATTTACTATTTGTAAGTGTGTACTCTCACCCAACCTAGTAATTACTCTACATAAATTATATGGGAATAACTATACTACTTCCGTTAAATGTTATGTGTAACTTTAGAATATTTTATATCTCACAAATAATACTCCAAAGTTGCAAATAACATTTAACGGAGGTTGTATATGAAACTAAAAAAGATAAACAGTTACATTCGACTTGCATAATACGTTAACATTCAGGCAATCAAAGAAAATATCAAAGAGAAAGCTCAACACTCATTACAACTGTAAACGTGGAAAGACATAAATGTAAGAAATTAAATATAGGGGTAAGAACGTAAACAAACATTTTGAAGGGTATGTACATCCGTGCACTATTCATAAGCACAATCTCCTACTTTTTATAAGGTAGAGAAATAGTAGAGGAAGGTAAACTTCTTATCCCAATAGTTCCTTGAATCGAAAGGAAACCTATTAAAGTTACCCCTTACTCTCAGAATAGAATGATCATAAACAAGCCTCTTAAAATGAGTTTATATTTGGAATATAATGATTATAAACAAATGCTAAAATGAGTTTTATTTTGGATTCTTTTGATTTTTGATCTCTTTATTTAGATAAAAAGGTGGCAGTATTATCATATTTTTTTCCCCTTTTCTATTTTATTTTGATATGGAAAAATATGAGACTTGAGAATATTTTTTTTCCCTTTTCTATTTTATTTTGATATGGAAAAATATGAGACTTGAGAATAATTAGATAGAGATTGACATTCCAATAATTGATGCAGTGCTTCCACATAAGGATCCATTATAATTGCTATTTTTATTTTGGTAAAGAGAAGACACTATCGAATTGGATCCTCTCACGTGTCAAGTTAGCCTGAATTTGCAAGCAAGACCCCTTGGGTGTGAGGGGAAATGGTAAAGAAATCCCTATCCTTAAGTTGTTTCTACACAACCTAGTGAGAGCCCACGAGCTTCCTTGTCACTAAATCTGCTTAAGATTTTGGGAATAACAATATTTTAACTAATTTGCAATACATCTCGATCTCACTTATATCTTGATCTCACTCTAATAAACAAGAAATCAAAGAGAAAACCATCCTAAATCTTACACAAAGGATCACTACCACTACTTTACCAACAAGTACATAAAAATTATTGATACCTAAACAAACAAAATAGAAGTATAGTTATAGTCTTATAGACTAGTACTAGAAATTATCATATCATATCAAGTCCCTCATTTACTACTCTAGTACTCTTCCATAAAAACCCAACCCCCCACTAGGGCTGGCAAACCCTGACCCGACACGAAAACCCGACCCGAAGTTATTGAGAGAGATCCGAACCCGACCTGAACCGAACCCGAACAACCCGAATTCGACCCGATTTGACCCAAATTTCATATTTCGTAATAATATTAAGTTTTACACTATTTTTAATAGTTGTTAAGCATAACCCGAAATCGACCCGAAATCTGACCCGAACCCGACCTGCTGACCCGAATTGCCACCCCTACCCCCACCCCCAAAAATTTAAAATAAATTAAAATTAAATAAAAAAGCTTAAAAAATAAAAATAAAAATAAAAATAAAAACAAAAAAAAAGTAGCCGGAGAAATACGAGTAGAACAAGAAGAACCACCTCACACGGTCACACCGCACACCCTCAAAACCTCCACACTTTCCTCTCTCTTCACTCCTCTCTTACTCCCCAAAACCCAACCTGTAATTTGCTCAATTGCACGACCTACTTCCATTTTCTCTCTCCTCGGATCTGCAATTTCCCCAATTTAATCCTTACGTTTTCTGGGAATTCCCTCTTCATTCGATCCCCATTTTCTCTCTCCTCTTTGATCCCATCCAAACCTAGCAATAATACACCCCCATTCAACCGCACGACCAGGCCGTGCGAAGAAGAAGACTAAGAGAGAGAAAGAGAACTGAAACCCATTTTCGTTCTCTTTCTCTCTCTTCGTGGGTATTCCTCCATTTCTCCGGAAATGCTCTTACCATGAGCAAAAACGAAGAAGAGGAGGAGGAAGAAGAAGAAGAGAAATTACCCAAATTAGTTAAAGTAGAAGAAGAAGAAGAAGAAGAAGAAGAAAGGTTTTACGAATCTCTTGATCGGATCCTATCTTCTTCAAATTCATCTACATCGAATTCTGAGGATGATAACGACACCGTTTTGTCCCCTCGCCGACACCGTAGTAGTCATCACCTTCATCACCATAGTTATGGCGGCAAGAGTAGTAACTCTTCTGGGGTTCCGAAATTCCCAATGTCGGCGCAAAACTATGATGTTTGGGTTTCTTCTGAGTCGTTTTCTCTCTCCTCGCTTGAGCAGCGCCGTGATCGGCTTCTTCGGGCGTTGGGATTGTCGGCTGACCCGTCTTTGGCACGGCGTAACAACGCCACGGTCCGATCTGCGTCGTTTGATCATCATATGATTGGGTGCTCTGCTGACCAGCCTTTCAAATCAGCTGAGGATGATGTCTCATTGGCTATAAACCGGTCGAAATCGGATCAGTGTAATTCTGCTTCCTTTTCTTCTACTAGTAATACTACTTGTTCTTCTTCTTCAATTCTTTCAATTCGTTCTGTTTCTGATACTGTATATAGAAATAGTAAAAGGGATAATAATATTAAGTTCAATGTTGATGTTGGTAACCATAATGATATTAAAATTAATAATATCTATAATGAAGGTAACTGTAATGGAGTTGTTGATAATTTGGTGAGTAATGGGTGTATTGGGTCGGTTTCAGTGTCGGGTTTGGATGGTTCTAATAAGCTGCCGGTGTGGAGGAGTGGTATCCGGCAACAAGGGATCAGTGAGATAGAGGTGGAGTGTGGTGATGGGAAGGTTTGCAGAAGTGGGGTTGAGGAGAGTGAGAGAGAAAAGGTGTGTACAATTAAGAATCTTGATAATGGGGAGGAGTTTGTGGTGAAGGAGGTTAGGGAAGATGGGATGTGGAATAAGCTTAAGGAGGTTGGGACTGGGAGGCATTTGACTATGGAGGAATTCGAGATGAGTGTCGGGCATTCCCCCATTGTTCAGGAGTTAATGAGACGGCAAAATGTGGAGGATCAGCTTAACAATAACAAGGATTGTGGTGAGTCTAATGGTAATGGTGATAATGGATCTAAGTCGAAGAAGAAGGTTAGCTGGTTTAGAAGTATCAAGAATGTGGCTAGTAGTGTTACAGGCTACAGGGAAAGACGTAGCAGCGATGAGAGGGATACCTCTTCGGAGAAAGGTGGGCGCAGGTCCAGCTCTGCTACTGATGATAGTCAGGATACTTCATTCCATGGACCAGAGAGGGTTCGGGTTCGGCAGTATGGGAAATCGGTTAAGGACCTTACAGCATTGTATAAAAGCCAGGAAATTCAGGCCCATAATGGGTCTATCTGGACAATAAAGTTTAGCTTAGATGGGAGGTTCCTGGCAAGTGCTGGTGAGGATTGCGTAATACATGTTTGGCAAGTGGTTGAATCAGAGAGGAAGGGTGAACTTTTGATGGATAGACCCGATGATGCGAGTTTGAGTCTTCTTGTCTTGGCAAATGGGTCACCTGAACCAAATTTAATTCCTCCGAGCTTGGATAATCCATTGGAGAAAAAGAGGAGGGGTAGGCCATCAATCAGCCGAAAATCTGTGAGCTTGGACCATATCAAGGTTCCAGAGACTGTTTTTGGGCTGTCAGAAAAACCAATTTGTTCATTTCAGGGACATTCAGACGACGTGCTTGATCTCTCCTGGTCCAAATCTCAGGTTAGTGATGTGTGATTTCATTTTTTCCTCTCCATAGTATCACTTTGTCTCATTCTATCGTGCTTAGGCTTGAATGTTTGTTTTACCTGTAAATTATAGTGATGCTGAGTTTTATTCTTGTAAATGCCTCAGTGGTATCTATTGTTGAACATAGCTTTTTACGTACCACATTCTTGTGAATGCCTTAGTGGTTTCTATTGGAAATGGAAAAGCCTGTTTGAACACGGGATTTGAATTGATGTTTGACTGTTGTTAAAGTTTATTCTACAGTGTTTCTGCTTAAAGTATCATGACTATCATCTAAGTTTGTAGATTGAAGTTTTAACTTTTAACATTATTTCAAACAATTAAGCACATAACAGCGTTATACATCTACAATTGTTGAACATAACTTTTTAAGTACCACATTCTTGTTGGTCCTTAAACTATGAATACGTTTTGGCGTTTATAGTGGTTTGGCCGTATTGGTTAATAATTATAACTTGAATACTCACGGAATAATTCAGCTCTGAAATGCCCCTAACTTACATGGCATAGTGTCCTCTCTTTTCTGTTGTATAGGAGTATAATCCTTAGTCCTTCCTCACTAAATATCCTCTTCCCATAATCCTTGGCTGAAAGATGTGCTCTCTCTTTCTGTCTATCTTTACAAGTTATATCCTTCCTCTTTATTCAATTCACCTGTCCACCATTTGTTGCTTCGCATGTTATTACAGATCATTCCAAAAACAGCTTATTTATCCCCCCACCTCCCATAAATAATTCATAGAAATATAGACCTAAAAGAACCCTCTTTAAATTTCTTTCCTTATTGCCCCACCTTTGCTAATTTATATCCCAAAGCCCCCGGTCAATGATTACTCTCTCCCTCTGCTAATTTATGAGCCTGAAATCCTTATCACCCTTCTCATCTTCTGTTTTATCTTCCCTCCCCTTACTTTGTATCCTATATGTGCAGTCAATTAAATATTTAAATATTCTTCCTTACAATAGACCCTAATACCTTTTTTTCAGCTGCTTAATTCAACATTTAGTAAAATGTAAAACAATCATCAATATTTTGATGCTTTAAATGTATGATAAATAAATAAATTGGAAAAATATAACCCTGTTATTTGGGGTTGACTTTCATGAGGGAACCCATACTTTGGATTATTTAGGAACTCTTCAAATTGGGATTATCTTTGGACAATCACCGTTAACTAATTGGTGATACTTATTCATTAATTATTACAGTAAATGAATATTTTTGATGAACTTTTTAGTTAGCACCAAGTCTGTGACAAAAGATGTCAGCTTCTATGACCCATTTATCAATTGGTGATACTGATTAGTTAGTACAGTACTTTGAGGTTGATTTCCATTAATCTTTGATTCCAATTTTCCTTTTCAGCTTTTACTTTCATCCTCAATGGACAAGACAGTGCGTCTGTGGAACTTGTCCAGCAAGACTTGTTTGAAAATATTTTCCCACAGTGACTATGGTAAGCATGCTTTTCGTTTTCTAGATCCCACCCCTCTCCCGTCAAAAAAAAAAAAAAAAAAAAAAAGATCCCACCCCTCTTGTTTATTAATTTAAAAATCCATCTTTGCTGTTCTGCATCAGAGGGTTTTTTTTTTTTTTTTTTTTTGACGAGATGTCAGAGGAAGTTACACAGTTTTCCATTGATGATGATTTTCTGCATTGTAGTTTGCTAGTTTATAGCTGTTTGCTTTTTTAATTTTCTTAAGACTGTACTTTCTCTTTGCACAGTAACTTGCATCCAGTTCAATCCTGTTGATGATAGATACTTCATCAGTGGATCCCTAGATGCCAAAGTCCGCATATGGAGCATTCCTGACCGTCAAGTTGTTGATTGGAATGATCTGCATGAGATGGTTACTGCTGCCTGTTATACTCCAGATGGTCAGGTATATTGGAATGTGTTAAAAGTGAAACCGTATTGATCATTTTGCTATTTGTGGTATCCTGAACTAGTTTATATTTGAAGGGTGCATTGGTTGGTTCATATAAGGGAAGCTGCCGCCTATACAACACATCTGGTATAGTCCAATGCAGTCTTAAATGTGCTTTATATGATTTGGTTGTATAATGTGCATTTCTTAAATCTTATGCACTGGTTTTTTTCTACTGTGGTTCCAGAAAATAAGCTGCAACAGAAGTGCCAAATCAACCTACAAAATAAAAAGAAAAAATCCCACCTCAAAAAAATAACTGGTTTCCAAGTGAGTAGTTTATTCTTTCTATGGTTGGAAAATTAGTCTGCTGCTTTTAGTTTCAGCATGTTTTCAAGTGTAGCTCTATTGCATTCCTACTTGTCCCATCTGCTGAAATATGCTTTCTTTCACTGAGCAGTTTGCACCTGGGAGTTCTTCGGAAGTTTTGATAACGTCTGCAGATTCACGAATTCGGGTTATTGATGGTTTGGATCTGGCTCACAAATTTAAAGGTACATTATGTAGCTGCTATTTGTCTGACCTTTTTTGTTTTCTCTCTCTTCGCAATTGATGTTGTGTGAATGTTCTGAAGATCAGGGGGTAGAGGAGTTTGTGGCTACTCTTACCTCCCTTGTGGCTACTCTTACTCTGAAGTTTATGGGGGCTTCATTTTTTGTTCTGTTACTTTTATTATTATTTTGTTTGGGAGGGAGGTGGTGTAGTAGTTTCTACGTGTAGCTGACCAGAATGCTTACCGTGATTCTGTTGTGCTGGAAGCAATGTAGAGATTTAAATATGCCTTTTGAATCAAAATTGGCTGTCATCATGTTGTCAATTCTTGAATCAATTTCTAGTCATTAGGCTCTGTTGTTTTGTCCTTTTACTGTGTTAGATTTTGTATAGGTAGTGAGTTACCATAATCTATGTGATAATGGGCTTCATTGTTGGGCGGGAATGTGTTCTTTATAGATTAAGCTTTGATGAGCAAGATATTAATTGATGAATGTAGTACCATTTCAAACAAGAATGCTGTGGGTTTATGGTGCAAATAGCTGACTAATTGTGTTAAGTATTGAGCAAAATCATCAGCAGAGCTTATCCGTGGTAGAGTCAGATTGTGGACCCCATTAGTACTGATTTGAATCTGTATGTTAAAAAGTGAGAAAGAGGTCTTTTGTGGTGCAATGGTAGACCAATTGTGTTATGTTTAGAGCAGAGTTATTTGGAGTCGGATTGTAGAACTCATGGTACTGTGTTGAATTTATACTTTACTCATCATATGAAGTCAGAAAGAGGGCATGTATGGTAAACATATTAGGTGTGAGCTAATGATGTTTATGGGGATGCGTACCTTTTCATGGAGGATACATACATTACATAGTGTAGGAACATATTCTATTGGTGCTTAAAGGGGGTGTTTGTTACTTGCCAATCTGTCTGGGATCCTAAAGATGATAATTACTTGTGTCTAATCCTGTGGCACTAAGCTGATATTGCTGGCATCATTATGTTTTTGAAAATTTTGTTGGCTGAAAGTTACAGCACTTTATGTGATCGTGACATTATATATACGGATATACCTATGGCTTATTAATGTGATGTTTTAAGCCAGGCTGTCAAATTTAAGGGTATGATATCTTCAACTTTAATATCACCCCTTCAAATTTAAAAAGGCATCTTGGATCTCTTGAAATATTTCTCATATATTCTCTAATATCACCAATTCTTCATGCCTCTCATTAGTCAGTCTTATATTTAAGAGTGAAAATTGGCATTCAACTGTAAATTACAAAAGCCATTGGTGTAAATTCTTTTGGGAAGATATATAAGACATGGGTATTAAAAGTGAAATTGTTCTCATGATATAGAAAATAGTGTGTGAAAGTCAGAGTGTGGAATCGGAAGTTGGAAGGATTAACAATCTGCAGAAACTATTGACTGAATACCTAGTCTATGATAAATGCTGAGTATGTAGATTGCTTTCTGACCTAGTGTCTTCTGCTTCTCATTGTTCCTTAGAGTTTATATTGTCCATTGTTGATTTGTTACACTGTATAGATGTAGGGTTCCATGCACCCTCTAAAAATAGTAGCTGACTAGCTGTTCTTTTGGTTCCATTTGCCTTCTAATAAATAGGAAAATGTGATAGATCAAGAACTTCATATAGCTTTGTACCTGACGATATATGGGGTTATTTTTATCCCTGTAATGAAATGATTATCAAAATGTATTGCGTACTCTAGTTCTACTTCTGGGTCTGATATTTTCGAGCAAGATTACATGTGTGATGCACCTGCATTTCGTTACTCGAAGTCATGATATGGTGTGGAAATCTCCCTTGTGTCTTAATCTTTTGCATGTCCATGCAGATTTTTGCCTTTGTGGTTACGATTGTCATGTGATTTAGTAATCTTTCAGAACTCCATTTAAATTGATGGTCCCATACACGTGGTCCCTTGGTATAACTCGTCAAAGTGTCGTGTGCTAAATCTGAGAGCTGCATTAGATACCATTTGCTTAGAAAGGTTTAGTATTTAAATAGTACATTCTGGTTATGTTTTTTTTTTTTTTTTTTTTTTTTTTTTTTTTTTTTTTTTAAAATAAACATTTAAAGTACTTAGTTTTCAAATTGAATAGTACTGCTAGGCTTGCGATCTTCTGGAATTAATCTGAATTTATACCCTAGTTGTATTGAGAATTTGAGGAGCGCCTTTTATGCCTAGCTCTGCTAGGATTTTCATTTAATGTTGCCTGGTCACTTGTAGTCATTGGGCTGGGTTTACAATAAATAATAAACTAGAACTTACAAGATTCAAGGATTCATTCAGTGATTATCATCACTGTTTTGTGCATATCTACTATAAAAATTCAGGTTAAATAAGTAAAACTATGTTTGTGCAAAGTCGAGTTACTCCGTGTGTAAGAAAGGTCGCTTGAGCCTTTGACTGTGTTTGAAAAAATGAAGCTAGGCCTAGAAGATTGGAAGAAAGTTGTCTTCATTATGTGAATCAGATTATGATGTTCTTGAATTGGTTAAAATTAGCTATGATGTTCTACATTCTGCTGTGCAATGATGTCTGTTTATCTGGTGTCCTAAATATCGGTTTAAATCCAATTCCATCTTAAAATAGGGTTTCGCAACACAAACAGTCAAATCTCAGCCTCCCTCACTGCGAATGGCAAGTATGTGGTGTGTGCCAGTGAGGATTCTCACGTGTATGTGTGGAAACATGAAGGTGAGTCCAGGCCTAGTCGGAGCAAAGGAGTGACAGTCACACGCTCTTATGAGCATTTCCACTGTCAAGATGTATCTGTGGCTATCCCATGGCCTGGTATGGGTGAACCGTGGGGACCCCAAGATCTATGCTCTGAAGAGCAAAATGGGATCCGCCGTCATTCGGAGGAGGTCTCAACAACCAACCACCCTCCGACACCAGTGGAGGAGTTTACCGGAAATGATAGCTCTCCTGCATCAGGTTGCAGCAATAGTCCTTTCCGTGGTACAATTTCCAATGCACCCAACAGCTATTTCTTTGATAGAATTTCATCGACGTGGCCAGAAGAGAAGCTTCTTCTAGCCACCAAGAACCGGAGTCCTCGTGTTAGTTTGGACTTCTCCAATGGAGTGCTTCAAAACAGGGCTGCTTGGGGATTGGTGATTGTAACCGCTGGCCTCAAAGGGGAAATTAGAACTTTTCTAAATTATGGATTGCCAGTGCGGATATAGGTATGATTTTTGTTCGCCTTTGTTTCCATATCATGTACAGGGAGAGATTTGTATTATTTATGAGTTTCATTTGTTGCTTGCGACGTATTCGAGCATTGAGGAAGAAGTACAGATTTATTGGAGGAATGGGAGAGAAAAAAGAGTTTTATAATTAAAAAAAAAAAAAAAAGAAAAAAGAGGAGGGTAAAAAGTTTTACACCCTGCATTTAGAAAAATGATGGATTAAATGTAATCCAAAATTGTAGAGTTATGCCACAAAGCTTATTGAGTTTAATGAATTCTTTTCACAAAATTCATTCACATTTGTTTTACACAGTATTCATGTGCACCAGTGTAGTAGTTTATATAAAAATGTTATTGTTAGGCCAATGTCAGATCTCATTATCATGTGAAATGACATCCTGTAATCATCATTATCTGTGCATTTTGTCAGTAATCATTTTTTTCTAGTTGGAGATTATTATTTTGCCCCTTCTTGTTTTTGCCCATCAATTCCGACTTTGAATCACTGCGACAATTTACTATTTCATGTTTATGTTTTTTACTTATCTAATGATTGAAAAAATTGTTTTATTACCAACCTCTTTTTTTTTTTTTTTTCCTTATTAATAATCGGCTATCAAATGGGCCGTTAAATGTGCTTCAACAAGCAGGTTGTGAATTTATCCTAATATTTGAGATAAATTACAAACACAAATTCTTGTATGTGACCACAATCAGGTTGTGAATTTAACATATACAAAGTACAAAAGAACTTGTTTGCTTAACAAATTACAGAGTTATTTAATTTTTTTTTTTGGCGATGGATTCTTGAATTTTGTGTTGGACTAAAATATTTACATCTTCAATCTAGTTTTTTCTTAATTTTTTAAATTGTTGATTTGTGCAAGTCCCATAAAGGTACAAGTGACTTTGACAATAAGCAATTAAGCATTGTTGGAATGATTTGGGGTTTATGCAACTCCTTATTCCAAAGATGAACAACTCAATAATATCTTTCGGTTAACAGTTGGAGATTGCGTGCAATTTAAAGATGCATTACTATTTATTTTTCTTGTTCCAACGATGAACAACTTAATAAAGGTACTATTAAGCTTTAGGACTTTGGAGAACTCGAGTTTTAAAAATTGGCTTGGTCGCGAGTTACTTTGGAAGCTCGTTTTTTCTTTGCACTACATATTGAGTTCTCATTCTACTAAAATATTTTAGGGCCGTGTAATATGAGCTATATTATTGTTTCCATCACTCTTTAAAAAAATTACTTCCTTCGTTTTAAATAACTGTAATATTATGACGTCTTGTTGGATTCGACTTGAAATGGTTTAAAATATCTGATTTTTTTTATTTATTTTTTAATTTTTACTAAATAACAATTAAAGATATTAGCAGTCAAATATGTGCATTGTCAAGTGTGAAATTCCAATCATTGTACATATAAGATAAAATAGAAGTATGTTGATTAGAATTGCAATTTTCTAAACTAGTTTGTATTTTGCAAGGGTTTAAGTAAACCAAAAATCGAATAAAATGCATTCATCAAGGAGTTTGGACTAATTTTCTTTGGTCCTGCTGTAACATATGACGATAAGTTTGTAACATACGACAATAAATCGGTAAGTTGTGCATGAAGTACTTGTATTTCAAGTGTAGTACTACTTCCGTTACAAATTATGTGCAACGATTTGACATGAAGTAGAGAAGAAAAATGTCTAATAGTTGCACATAACCTGTAACGGAGGTAGAATATAATTTAAAATACATATCTAATTCATTATACGCATACAGTTGCTATTTGCTAGGTTTAGTTCACCTTATATCATTAATTACTTTATCATCTAATTAATATAATTTATTTATTTTTTTTAAAAAAGCTCAAATAAGATCTTATTGTTTTATTTGAGATTTTTTAAATTCTCTAATTTTTTATTCAAAAAAAATTACAGCGTAAATTACTTATTTGAAAACAATACAAATGTATTAAGTCATCATTTGATTAATTGATATATGTGTTTGTCCTTAATGAAACAACATAATTCCTCTGTTTTTTTTTTTAATTTAAGTTGACACCTTTCGATTATCACGCTTGCCAAAGTATGTTTTTAACGATTAATATCTCTCATTATAAACATTGTAAATTTAAAAAAATGGATATTACTAAAATATACATCGAGACGATTCAAATAAGATCTCACGTGAGTATGTTTTATCGTATTTATAAATCAATAAAGTAAATCAAAGTGTAATATGTAAATTGTATAAAAATTAAACGGTGTCAACTAAACATACTCTTATATTGCAACTCCCAAATTAAAATTAGCAATTACTTTGCCTACATCTTCACATATTTCATATATACTCTACACTTTGTCAATACATTCCCATCATATATTATCTCATTCATTATATCCTGTAAATTATATGACCAGCCCATACTAGCTAGGAGTGGTTCATCTAAAACTTTGTGCCTCAACTTCAAGTGGATTTTCCTTTTTTTTTTCAACTAAAAATTCTAGAAAGATCTAAAAGAAATCTAAAACTAAAATTTTGATTGGCCAATGAGTAATGAAGTGGCAGATAAATTCCACCAAAATTATCCTATCCACACATATCCTCAACACCCCATAACTTTTTTCTTATTTGTCCAAACAACTCCTTATAAATAGTTGGCCCCTCCATAATATCTATCTTAAATATCAACACTTTAACATTACATTTCACTCAAGACATTTAAAACATCAAGTTTTAAGTTTTTAGGTTCATATAATATAACCAAAAAATGGCTCTCCAAGCTTCTTTGCTTCCTTCTGCCTTGTCCATCCCTAAAGAGGTAGATTTTCATTATGCATTGCTACAATGTCACTAGACATGATAGAATTTTCAATTGGGTCGTTTATTAAAACTTACGAGTACGTGTTCAAGTGCACGTTATACATGTTTTTTGTCACTTTAAATGAGTCCTTGTACCTTAACATGTTACAGCCATACACTACACCTTTAGACGTCTTTTACCTATGGCCTATTGATTGTTTTGAGTAATTGGAAATATGCAAATAATAATAATTTTGTGCTTTGATTACTATATACTTGTATAATTATTTTAATGTATATGTAGGGAAAATCTACTGCATCATTCAAGGACTCTAGCTTATTTGGGGTATCTCTGTCAGACTATGTCAAAGCTGACTTCAGTTCATCTGCTTTGAGATGCAAGGTAAAATAATAGACAGTAATTTTCAGTATTGTAACTGATTTATCATTTGAACATAAAATTGCAAAATTTGGAACATTTTTATGAAATTTTCTCATAATGGCAGAGAGAATGCAATGCAACAAGGGCAGCAGGGCCAATCAGAGCACAAACCTCGGCAGTGGCGACACCAGGAGTAACTAAATCATCATCAGAGCAAAAGAAAACTCTAAGAAAGGGTAGTGTTATTGTCACCGGTGCATCCTCCGGTCTAGGACTTGCAACTGCGAAAGCATTAGCCGAGACAGGAAAATGGCATGTAATCATGGCGTGTAGGGACTTTCTTAAGGCCGAAAGGGCGGCTAAAGCTGCAGGAATGTCAAAGGAGAATTATAGTATAATGCATCTTGATCTTTCTTCTCTTGACAGTGTTAGGCATTTTGTGAACAATTTTAGGCAATCAGGAAGTCCCCTTGATGTGTTGGTTTGTAATGCCGCTATTTACCAACCTACTGCTCGGGATCCTTCCTTTACTGCTGAAGGCTTTGAGCTCAGTGTTGGGACTAATCATCTTGGCCATTTCTTGCTCTCGAGGTTGTTGCTTGAGGACTTGAACAAGTCAGATTATCCTTCTAGGCGGCTCATTATTGTCGGATCTATTACAGGTAACTAGAAAAGTTACTGACAGATCTAATCTGATAAGTTGTTTATCATTATGTTACATTCTTCTGCATATGCAGTCTTTGGTGCACATTGAGTATTGTGTACATCTGTCTTCATGGGTCAGTCTGTGATGCTTTCCTGTAATCTGTATTTTATTTAGGTAACACGAACACATTGGCCGGGAATGTGCCACCAAAGGCCAACCTAGGAGACATGAGGGGGCTCGCCGGTGGATTGAATGGCCTAAACAGCTCTGCCATGATAGATGGTGGAGATTTTGATGGGGCCAAGGCATACAAAGACAGTAAAGTCTGCAACATGCTTACCATGCAGGAGTTTCACCGTCGCTACCATGAAGACACCGGAATCACCTTTGCTTCACTATACCCTGGCTGCATTGCCACTACTGGCTTGTTTAGGGAACATATCCCCTTGTTTAGGGCTCTTTTCCCTCCATTCCAAAAGTACGTCACCAAGGGCTATGTCTCCGAAGATGAAGCAGGGAAAAGACTTGCTCAGGTAAGATCATCATACCATCAGAAACTATCATAATGTAATCACAGGAAACTTATGAAAAAGCTAACAATTTCTTATGTTTGGGTTTGTGATTCAGGTTGTCAGTGACCCGAGTTTGACAAAGTCTGGTGTATACTGGAGCTGGAACAAGGCTTCGGCTTCATTTGAGAACCAGATGTCTCAGGAAGCCAGTGATCCTCAGAAGGCCAAGAAAGTCTGGGAGATCAGTGAAAAGCTAGTTGGTTTGGCATAGAAACTTAAGCAGATGTCACATTGCCTAGCTCCTCTGCTAACTTTGTGTGATTGGGAGAGACGATAGCATCGAAAAATTCCGGGGTTTCAGATAGATGTGGTGTCATTGGGATTATGAGCAGCTTGTAAGAAAACTTTTCCTTTGTAAGTAGTTCAGTTGATTGTGATTCGTAATAAAAATCTACTAATCCCCTTTGGCAAATAGTGAATCAAACTATCAGAATTCTCAGGTAAAATAGTTGCATATCAGTTATAACACCACCTCTGTCCGGATCTGATTGTAACAAGGCGAAATGCGTACATATAAGATGAACATTGAAAAATCGAAAATTATCTTCAAAGGGAAAAACTAACGGAAACATATATGTATTGGAACTCAAGATTAGATATAAACAGCATATTAACTTTATGAATACTTACAGAAAGTAAAGGACCAATTTACATCCACCATTATTAGATAAATTCGAGGTAAGTGGTTAAGCCAGACTACATACCATCATAGTTTATAACTTTTTATATGTTTATCTATGCTGTGGTGTCATACAAAATCTACACTAATAAACCTTAAGGTTTCCTTCTTCCTTGCAAACTTTTTTTGTAGTCGAGTATAGTTTCTACATAAAGTACAGCACATGTACATACCCTTTTCTTGAAAAAGAAGCTACAGCTCATAGGCAGGGAACCTTGCTTCACTTGGTTCATTCATATCCAAAAACAGATAGGCCATTCCCCCGAGCCCTTCAAACAATGAATAAGGGCGGTCACCTCCATGCATAAACCCCTCGGCAATGAGCCTTTCAGCTTTATCTTGCAGAAAACATGCAAATGCTTTAGCTCTGTACAAATACTCAGCATTTCCAGTTAAACGGTAGAGTGCAAGGAACACATAGGTGTTCCCGCTGATACCATGGCAAATTCCAACTCTTTTCAGTAGACCTCGATTCCAGACTACTTCTGCTGCATCTACAGCAGCCTGCAGCAGATCCTTATCTCCAAAAACCTGAGAATTAAAAAAGAAGAGTCTTAGTATAGACGACATAAACCAACAAGCAAAAAAGGAAATGCTAAAAACAGAGACAAGTGATCTAGTGTCCCTGCATCCAGGCATTCTTCTAGTATATGTAAGTAAAAAGGTCCTAACAAATACAGAGCTTTGTCATAATTCTGTATGAACATCCAAGACTGTCAAAGTATTATTACGAAAGACATGATGATAGCCAATTAAAAGTTTGTCACTACACCTCAAAATGGAATTTACCTGAGCTGCTTTTGCTAGGGTAAGGGCTAACCCAGGGGCACCATGGCACCAATGAACTAGACGATCTGATTCACTTCCTTCACTTGAAGGATAATTTCCACTGGGGAAACGGCCCCTAATCATATAGCGCAGCACAGCTTTAACATCTTCTTGCTCATCTGGTGTCAGTGGCATATCCATCAAGACGTGCATGATTCCAGCCAAGCCATGGGCAGCACCCCAATACTTTTTTCCGTGCCACTCATACATTAAAGGACATCTCCCCTTTCCTAATTTTCTGCCAGCTTTCATGATGTCTGTGACAATTTCTCTCTAGAAATTTTCCATCCAAATTATTTTATCACAATCTAATTAAATATGATAAGGATAGTCGACAAAGAATAAGAAAGCTTTGTGAAAAAAGGAGAGGAAAAAAAGTCATAGAATGTACCATGGTGGACTCAGATATGGTGCCTTCTCCAATATGCTTGTTTAGGAATGAGCACGACCACAGAAAACCAGCTCTTCCATAAAGCAACTCATATGGAAGGTCAGTAGGAAGCTTTATCTGCTCAGACCAAAAACATAGTCCCTAAATCGAAATCCAAACACCTAACTTTAAAATGCGTACACTTTTCATCTGAAAGGTACCTGTTTGAACTGTGTCAGGTAGTGATCCAATAATTGCTCATCACCAGCTTGTTTTGCAACAACAGCACCAAGAGCACAGATGCCAGACCGTCCACATATGAAAGTTACATTTCTGAGACCAGATTGTCACAAAAACGGCCAAAGTTAAGGTATATACTGCTTGCTCTTATGCATAAAGCTCCAACCTTAATGAGTTCACAATCACATACATAGTTACCTTAGTTTGCACTTTCCATTGAAGCATTTAGAGGCTTATATAGTGAATGTAGTTATTTGAAAAGACAAATATACCAAAACGTATGCCAAGGAGAGCAGAATTTTGAAACAACTGAGCAGTTCGCAAAGAGTACAGATCATTCATATGTTATGCATATTTCCTTTAATCTAAATTTCCTACATTAAGGACCTTTTATATCTCACAATTATAAAGTTCGAGTCAAACTAGTTTAGGAAAAGGCTATTACATTGAAAAAAAAAAGGGCCTAGTAAGTTCAATAGGTTAGTTTAGTTTAGGGGTTTCCAATAACATTCCCAAACAGCTCTCACACGGGTTGGGATATGTTTTTTCTTGTAACTTCATAGAACAACGAATTTCTCCCTGATTTGGCTACAGATTACACAAAATATTTAACCCATACAAACAGAAAAAAAAAAAAAAAAAAAAAAAACTGCAATAGAGAACACCATAATATAAGTACCATATAAATAAAAGGAAAATTTGTCAATTACTACCGCAAGTTAATACCACTTTGTAAATTACTACTACAAATTAAAAAAGTTGTGACTTACTACCGCAGAATTTTCCGCAAAATTTTTTAAGATGTTGCGATTACTACCAAACCCCCATTAAACCCAACTATGACGTTATTATATCATTTTAACCCATGGTTAAAGCTCTTAACCATGGTCAAACATGGGTTAAAGCCCTTAACAATGACGTCATTATATCCCTAACCCATTTTTTTTTGGGGGGGCTGGTTAAAGCCCGTAACCATGGTCAAACATGAGTTAAAGGGATATAATGACGTCATAGTTGGGTTTAATGGGGGTTTGGTCGTAATCGCAACATCTTAAAAAAATTTACGATAGTAATTCACAACTTTTTTAATTTGCGGTAGTAATTTACAAAGTGGTATTAACTTGCGGTAGTAATTGGCAAATTATCCTAAATAAAAAGCTACTCCCTCCGTCCCTAAATTACAAACAGGAATAAATACTAGAAAGAGGAATGTAATTTAGGGATGGAAGGAGTATTAATATCACCAATTTGAACCGGTAGCTATTCAAAACTTCACATGTTTTTGGCTGATATCAAAATACTAAATTGTCCGCAACCATATTTAATCGTGGAGTATCCGACACTAATTAAATATAGGACTTGGGATACAGATGAATCCAGGTTGAACAAAACTCATTGACTCAATCCACACCTGAAAATGACATAGCAATCCTCCTCAATATAGAAAGAGTTTAAGACCTTGTATGTCCCATTTTCTCATTACATCCCCTCTTACATCAGAGGGAAAAATTTTAAGTTTTAAACCAAGATAATGACGCATACACTGATACACTCTAATCATTTTTCTGAAAAACATTGTTTCATTAACATAACTCAAACTACTTCCTTGTGCATATTTAATCAACGAAATTATTAAAAGTTCAAATCTTTAATGAACAATTGTATATACAATATATGTTTGAACAGCAAATCAAATAAAAATTGAACAAAGGAACAAAAAAGATTACTTGGAACCACGAGAAGCAGAATCACAAGCCTTAATAATGTCAGAAGACAGAGCAAGATCACCCTTATTATTTGTCACTTGATAAGCTTTGAATAGCAGCAAAGCAGTCCCTAAAGCTCCAGTGTAAAGTGAATAATCTTGTGCGCGTTTTCCACACTTCACCCATGTTTCTCTCACAACCTAAACAGCAGTAAAACATAATTTTGGTTCAGGCAAATCATCGAACATTTGGTGTGCACCAGAAAATCAGAGAAATTAACCATACCCAGATATCCAAAAACACAAATTCAGCTCAAAAAACAAAAACCCAGAAAAAGAAAGAAAGAAAAGTACAGTGTTTGTAAGATCAAGCGCTGTTTTGTTGAGAATTTGGCAGAGTGATTTGTAGGGATGATGAATAAGCTTAGTGAGAGAATCCCCTGTTTCAGACATTGAAGAACCCATAGCCGAAGTTTCTGGGATATACAAGGGCATTTCATTGAGGAAGAAACGGTCCGCCATTGTTGCACCTCTCTTAAGCTTTCTCTCTCTTCTAAATTTTGCTGTATCTTGGGTTTTCTAATATGGTGATTTACAGAATGATGAAGAGAGGGTTAATTAGGAAGAAGAAGGGAATAAAAAGAAAAAAGAAAAAGAAAAGAAAAGGAAAGAATGTTCTTTGAAAATTCGAGAGAAATGGAAGGACAGGTGGTTCATCGTCAAAATTTGGTTTTGCAATTGTGAAATGCTTTACTACTGTTTGTGATTCGCGCGTAATTGTGATGGCAAACAACGGTGAACGTTGTTGCTCCTAAACAGAGAATAATCAATTGGTAATTGACTAATTGCACGAAGGCGATTTTGTTGTATGTGTCGACACAAGCATCATGCTAAATGCTCGTTAGGAGGACATAAAGTTTGTCATGCTCGTTATGACCAAGGAGTAGGGGTGGGACTTTTCAAACCGAACCGTGAAACCGCCCGTTACCGAACCGAACCATCACGGACCGATCCGTTTATAAACCGATAAATGTAAACCGAAAACCGAACTGAACCGTTCAATATCAAACCGAAACCGAATTGAACCGCTCAATGTCAACCCGTTACGGACCGTAAACCGATAACAAACCAAACTGCGCAAATCCGAACCGAAACGAAACCGAACCGAATGGTTTATAAACCCGTTAATGATCTGAACCGTTTATAAACCGAAACTGTTTAAACCGGAAAAAAACCGTTTAAACCGAACCATTTGTAACCCGCTAACCGTTTAAACCGACCCGTTTATGAACCGAAACCGTTTAAACCGCACGTATAAACCGAACCGTTATAATCCGCTAACCGTCTAAACAGAACTGCCATAACCCGTTAAACCGTTAAAATCGAACTGTTTTCGAATCGCAACCTGTTTAAACTTATCCAATTACAAACTGCTTAATTCAAATTGAATTATTTACAACCTAAATGGCTAAATAGTAAATACAATTAAATAATTAATGTTAATAAATGTAGATCTAATCAAACGGCTTAGGTTTATACAAAGGTTTATATCACCTAGATCTAGGCCAACGACATTATTAATATCGTTTTAGATTACTTATTTATTTTAATTACAAGATATATCATTTGTATCTTTTCATTCCAGTAATAAAGTCCACCCAAATTATCTTCATTGTTCCTTGATATTCATGATCATCCAATAAGATAACACAAGATTGGAGATAAATAACATTAAAATTAGAGTAATATCAACAAGCAATTAAAAAAACTCACCATTTTCATTGATTAAAATTCACAATACATATACCAATACATAATGAAACTACTATCACTACTACCCAGATTAGATTCCAGATTTATCAACTGAAACATCATCAAGTTTAGGGTTGCAAAAAATGATACATGATAAGATGAAGGGAGGAGTGAGAATGTGAGTGATTTGGAAGCAGAATCTTGAAGCAGCAGCCCAGCACCCAAGAGCAGAGGAAATAGCAGCAACAAGCAGGAACCAGCACACGCAATAATAGATCAACAACTTATCCGAAGCAAGGAATAATATAAGCAGAAGGGACTCAGCAGGAACTTATTTTTGTTTTTCAAAATTGCTCTCAGATTTACGTTTATCGTATCATCACTGAGCAATGACTGTTTTAACTTAAAACTTGAAAAATGCTGCCAGCAAGTACATATACATTGAAGTCTCAACATAAATGACAAGGGCAACGATGATTCAAGAAAAATTAAAACAGCAAGCATAAGAAACAACAGCAACAAAACAGCAGCAAGCATAAGAAACAGCAGCAACAAAACAGCAGCAGCAACAACTCAGCAGAGACATCAACCAAAAGGCAAAAGCACTACCAGCAGGCAGCAGCTCATAACAAGTTCAAGCAACTTCAAAATTATAGCTTTTGTTTTTTAAAATTGCTCTCAGAGAGCAATGGTTGTTTTAACAAAAACTTGAGAAATGCTGCCAACAAGTACCAAAATACATTTAACTATTTAAGTCTCAACATAAATGACAAGGGCAACGATTTTAAAAGTCTTGAAAAATGCTGCCAGCAAGTCTGAAAATAAAAGACAAGGGCAACGATTTTTCAAGATAAAATAAACCACAATGAGACACAAATACCAGTTATGCAGATGAAGCACTTTCGGCTTCAATCTCTTTACCAATAAGGAGGACGTCTTCCTCAACATCCGCTTGATAACCACGACACCAATTTTGGGTGGTAACCAATGCCTCAACATTCTTTGGCAAAAGTTTACCCCTATATTTGTTCAAAATACGACCACCCAAACTAAAAGAAGATTCAGAGGCCACCGATGTAATAGGAATGGCCAAAACATCCCTTGCCATATTAGCTAAAATAGGAAGAGAAGAAGCTTGAGATTCCCAATACTTGAGAACATCAAAATGTTCCCCTTGAATTAATCGCGAACGAGGTCCATTCAAATATGCCTCAAGATCAGCCAGAGGGCATCTAGTTGAATCATCACATTCGTCATCAACCTCACGCAACTGCAACAGATTTTTTTATTATAAAAGTTAAATTATGACATTACAAATAAAAATAGAAGACTACCATTAATATTGAGTATATTGTATAACATAAATACCGTGAAAATATTTTGAGATCTCAACGTACGATTAGAATTTTCAGATTGAGCTGTGTTTGAAGAGGCAGGATTTCTGCAGCTTGTATTAGATGCAGTAGAATAAAATTTATAGAGGTCATAAAAAGCTTCCTTAATCATCATAATCTTTTCGTCGCATGCCTCATCATTATACAACGAGTTCAACATATGTCTCACTCGAAACAACTTATAACGAGGATCAAGAGCAATAGCAACTGAAAGTATCAAACTATAATCCTCCCAATAACTCTCAAACTTCTCAAGCATAACTGCTGCCATGGGTGCAAGTTTAGGGTCTTTAAAGGCTTGAGTAATAGCGTACTCAATTTTTAAAACACTAACAAAATACAAATTAGAAGTGGGAAATTCGGTACCAGAAAATAACACAGTTATATCATTAAATGGCTGAAGGAAATCACAAAATTTTTGAATGGTATCCCATTCATCAGCATCAAGTCTATAAGAAATACCCAAAAACCTACTAGTATATAGAATCAAGGCATCCTTAGCTTCTAAGGCTTTTCGGAGCATTGTATAAGTGGCATTCCAACGAGTCACAACATCAAGACATAACTTACCATTAAAAGCAGAATCTAACTCAGACAAAGCATTCTCAAATTGAGTTAATCTAGAATCAGAAGCATCAATATATTTAACAACCTCACGCAATTTTTCAACACTTTCATGAACTTCTTTTAAACCTCTTTGAACAATAAGATTTAAAACATGAGCTGAACATCGAACATGAAAGAATTTCCCATTACAAGGAAGAGGAGAGCATTGCATTAATTCTTTTTTTCAAATATTCAACCATAACATCCATAGAACGAGCATTATCAACAGTCATTGAAAAAGCCTTACCTTGAAGGTTCCACTCTTTAATCAGTTTAAACACAAACTTTCCAACCTCAACACCAGTATGGGGAGGGCCACAATATCTAAAATTTTAAATTTTAGACCTAAGAGACCAACTGTTATCAACATAATGAGCAGTCAAAGTGAGATAGCCTCGGTTAGTACATGCAGTCCACAAGTCACATGTAAAGCTAACTCTACCAGAAACATTAGCCAAAGACTCAAGCAACAAGGATTTATATTTATCATGCTCAGCAATAACATACTTTAACATAGTTTTTCTACAAACATGCTGCACCTTAGGATTCAAATATGCATGAAGTTCCCTAAGATATTCATGCTCTACAATATTTAAAGGATATGCATGGCAGATTATAGCTTTAGCAAACTTTTGTAAATAAGTTTTTTGATCATGCTTTTCCAAACATGCATTAATATGAGCTCTACAAGTTGAAGTACCCGCTTTACCAGGTGCTTTATATTCTTTGCCACACAAATTACAACGAGCATAATCTACATTTTCATTACCTATCGTCTTTACAAAAAAAGTGTAATGCTTCCATATACCTGCGGTTCTTTGACGTTTATTAACAGAAGGATTGATAGTGCCGGTATTACTAGCATCATCAACCGAGACAGAGGCAGCTTGAGAGCTAACAGTATCAAAATTTGATTGCCTCTCATAGTCAAATTCATCATACTCGCGAGACATGACTGAAAAAAAAAAAAAACAACATTTATAACTTATAAGTACCAAATTAAGTGACAGATTCTACTAATAGTGAGCAATTAAGCATGCATTGTCTCATGTGACTGACACTGAAGTCACGACAGTGAATCCTATTCACTCAATACCAAAATTCAACTAAATAGATAGTTCATATTTCAGAATTTTATTTGCACTAGTCAATGTTTCAAAATTCAGAATTATACAACAAACGTGATTACAACATATATCCTAACAGAATATAGAAAGTTATATACGATACAGTCACATATGTGTACATTTTAAGTACTAACTTTAAACCAATCATATACAATGCTTGTATTCCAACAATATGGGTTAAAAATATAAAGCTAAAATCCCAATAAATAAACAATGCATGTATTCCAACAATAATAATCACATAATCTGAACAACCCATCATCATTACTTTTAAATCGAGCATAATAAACAACAAAACAGCACAAATCTACCATTTTCCCGTAAAAAACAAAAATACAATCAACAACAGATTTTACTCATTTTAGGCATATTTCGACTATATTCAAGCAAGAACAACAACAATAATCAAATACAAAAACAGAAAAACTGTATTAAAAAAAAAACAAAAAGGAAAAATTAATTACCTTTGACGGCTTGAAGGAGATTTGAAGATGGAGAACTTAACAAAAAATCGAATAAATTAACAAAAAAATTACCTTAGGGTTTGACGGCTTGAAGGAGAGGAAGATTTGAAATCAGAAATCAGAAATCAGAACTTAGATCCAAAACAAAAATGAAACGAAAACAAAAACCCTAAATAAACAAACCGAAACAAAAACGAGAAAAATCAAAACGAAAACAACAAAAATTAACAAAAAAACGAGAATGTAAAGCGAGAAATCAGAAATGTAGATCCAAAACACAAATGAAACGAAAACAAAAACCCTAAATAAACAAACCGGAACAAAAACGAAAAAAATCAAAACGAAAACAACAAAAATTAACAAAAAAACGAGAATGTAAAGCTAGAAATCAGAAATGTAGATCCAAAACACAAATGAAACGAAATTGAGCTTGAGATTCTTGAGAATTTCAGAACGAAAGAGTGAGAAACTGAGAAGTTAGAGAGATAAACTATGACAGATTGTGAGATTGAGAGAGAAACGGCTGAATGAGTGAATGAGAATGGCTGAGAGAGTGAGAGTGGGTTTTTTTTTCTAGGTTTAGGTTTTACTTCAGTTGATCTAACCGTCCATATTCAATCTCAACATCTAAGTTAGATCTAACCGTTCATTTTTTTTTGTAGATTCTAGAATATTCATCTAGATCTAACGGTCTAGATTTTCTTTGTGCTTTTCTAGGTCTTTTTGACCGTTTTTTTTAATTATTTATTATTATTATTATTATTATTATTATTGTTAGTATAATTATTTGTTAATTAGTTTACTACTACTATTATTATAATATTATTATAATTATTATTATTATTATTACTATTATTAGTATTATTATTAGTTTATTACTTATAAGTTATAAATTGTAAGAAACGCAAATGTTTCAAAATTGAAATTGATTCAATACGACATAGTTAATGACTTAATGAGTTAATGGCTTAATGCTCATCAATATGACAATATCTGACATCTGTGAGTCTGTGATTGTATATCAGTATATATAATAAACTATAAAACTAATAATAACTTAATAAGTAATAATACTAATAACTAATAAAGTAATGAAAATCTAACCATTGTTTTTCATGGGCATTCAATCTAACCGTTGTATATTTGACTATTCGTACATTAGTATTGCATAATGCTTTCATCACCACTTTAATTAGTGATTTCGTGATTTCGTCCATTTAACTTATTAAGTTGTTTGAGTTAGTAATCTAAATAAAGTAAAAAACTAAATAACGAATCCATTTAATCTCGTGTAAGTTATAATTTATAAGAAATGCAATGTTTGGAAATGGAAATTGATTCAATACGATATTGTTAATGTATATGTAATTATAGATTAATTATTATGTATATCATATCGTACGAATGTATGGTTGGTATCATTATCATACTATCATAAGTATCATTGCCTCATTGAATTATTGGTATGTACTACAAATCTACAATCGATAAACATATTTACATATCTGATTATTAAAACTTAAAAGTTTAAAACACTTGTTGATCAATCTAATTGAATATTTGTACATTCTTAATTATCGATTTATCGTATTATAAGTATCAACTCATTAAATCATGGTCATGACGCGATCTTTAAAACAATCATGAATTCAATTCATGACCCAAACCGCTTATAAACCGAACCGACATGATCCAAACCGTTCATAAACCGAACCAATTGAACTGTGTAAACCCTCTACTAAACCGGCCCATTTCAAACTGAACCGACATGATTCGCACCGTTTATAAACCGAACCGATATTGACCCGGGTAAATCCGCCCCTAAACCGACCCATTTTAAACCAAACCGGCTTGATCCAAACCGTTTGTAAACCGAACTGACATTGACCCGGGTAAACCCGCCCCTTAAACCGACCCGTATCAAACCGAACCGACATAATCCGAATCGTTTATAAACCGACCCGCTTATGACCCAAACCGAATTTAAACCGCAAAGAAATAAACCGAAACCAAACCGAGCCGTGACTAACCCAAACCGAACCAAACCGACCCGCCAGCTAAACTAAACCGTTTCAATCCGAACCGCTCCAAACCAAAACCGACTCAAACCGAGGTCAAACCGAACTGCTAGAACGAAGTCCCACCCCTACCAAGGAGTATATATATGTCGATTTTAAGTCTCAATGCTCGTAAAAAGGACATAAAGTTTGTCATGCTTGTTAGAAATATATATGTGTCGATTTTAAGTGAATGGTACAAAGCAAAATTCATGTTCATATGATGAGGCTTTCATATTCATATGAGGCTATCTCAAGATTTAGGTTAAATGGGGTTAATTCGTTTAGTTTAAATTCGAATTGAGTTATGTTCGATTTTGCAATCAAGATGTAACAGCTAGCATACTAAACAGCTCAAGAGACAAATAATTTCAGTCATTGACCCGTATGCTATTACATAAATAGTAGAAAACAAGAATTGAAGAAAAGAAGGCAGAGGTATTTATATGTACAACTTATGGCATGATCATTTCTCATAATTCTTACATGTCAAAGACTTAAACATAAGATACCAGCAAGGATCGATTTATTGTTCAGCAATCTAGAGTATTGTATGGGATCAAACAGCTTCATTCATGTGAGCATCCCACTTAGACCAATTGGTGGCGCTGCCACTACGAGGCATGCTATTGATGCGATTAAACTTGTCGACGTTGAAATTTGCTCCGCATATCACCCCTTGGCTGTCCACCCTTGGCATTGCCTTCACTTTGTTCATCGGATGCTCAAAGCTCATCAGTCCCCCTTCACTGTGGAACATAAATCCTGCCCAATCCAAACCAAAAACAAGAACTTTACGTCACTTTATGCAATAGTTGAGCCTTTTGATCTCAATGGAACTACAGCCTAGAATAATTAACTAACTAGGCTAATGATGATCCTCATGAAGAGATTGGCTCAATGGTATGTACTAAATTTTCTATGTAATTTACAAATTCTAGCTAGTCTAGTAATGATATACGGTAAGAATCATACCGCCTTTTAGAAAGTGTAAGGGAGGGTGAAAATACAACTCTCACGAATTCACGATATTTGGAATTAAACTCGACAAGGAGCTCTGAAGTGGAAGTGAAATTATGTACATATTAGATAATATAAACAAGGACTACACTGATCCACTTATGAAGCGTATTTCTGGTTCTAAAATGAAAGCTCAGCTTCTAAATAAGTAAATATTTAGTGATAGTGACTATGCAGTACACAAGCCAAGAAACGTGGAGAAGCGTCTTGTTCCAAAAATAAGGACCATAACATTGCACAACGAATCTCTCATTCACATTGCCAAATTAAAATTCCAAGGTATCTTATTCTGAATATATGAATCCAAAATAAGTAAAGGTACAAAAAAAAATGCTAGATATCTAGCATATTTGACATAAGATAGATGACAATTATTCTAGCGTATGCTCATGATAAGGAATTAATTAAACTCGATCATAACAAGAGAATTCCAAAGGTATAATGGGCTGAAAGAATTTGAGCCATAATCCAACAATCTCATATTTCTAGACACGAAATCATTAGTCGGGAGGTTCAATATGGTAGGGCCGTAGGACTTACTAGCTCAACCTTCTTGAGAGAGCTCCTTGCATCACATCCTAATGCTAAAAGGCATCACCACCATTTATGGATTGCATTCACTTGGGAAGTTTGGTCAACTACAACACTATTAATGATTCCTTTCTTAAAAGTCACTTATCTATAGTTTCATATTAATGATGAAAAATTAGCTTTTAGGGCTAGAAATAGCATTTGCATTGGTTGGTTCTCATAATTTAAGGGTTAAAGATTGTGACAACTTATCATTAGTGGAGATGCCACTTCCTATGGACTATATATGGTTCATGATGACTCTTCCTTAGTCACAATCAAGAAATCATATGCTTACAAAGCCGCTTCCTACCAATAAGTTTGGTTATCGTTTGAACTTTGTGGAACTTCAACATTGTAAGGCTCTCTTGGGATTATACAACCTCGCCTCTAAAATTTATCTTTAAGGGTGAAGATTGTTAGGTTGTGGCCCAAATTCTTTATAGCCCGCAATAATTATAGACTTCTCTTGTTACATTCCATACTTATATCAAAACCCGTGACTCGTGAGCATACAACTATAAAACCATGATGTCATACATCTCAAATTAATAGGCACGGTAGATATTCTAGCATTTCGCCTTTAGTGATCTTTAATGATACTAAAGAAGTTATGGTGGCATCGTGAAACAAAGCTACGTGGCCTATTATTGTCATCTTTTTTAATAATAAGATCTCCACATTTCTTAGCATATACAAAGTAGTTCATATAATACTGATGTACCATAGCAAAACAAGATCTACGCCGTAACCTTTACTCTGCACACTTTTAATTCGACTTTTACTTTAGAGCTTCTTAATGAACTTATTTCACATCATTCTAAGAGTCTCTTTCAGGGTATGTTTTGATTTCCTGAACTGAATTGTTTATAAAAAAAAAAGAAAATTAGAAACTGAACTGAAGTGAAGTGAATTGAAATTAAGCTGAAGAGAATAGATCCCAAATCGAATGATCACTAATCAATGCTTAAAAGTAGAGAAAGGAGGTAAAGAAATCTCTCTATATTAACCCAGCAAATTTAGTTGGTAGAGCTCGAAATCATAACCTAAGAGTCATGGGCAAGTATATAATTGGACCGTCTGTAGACTCTGTACACATAATTAAATAAGATACCCTTATCCCAAGGACCCTAGAAAATAAAAAGGAAAAAAAATAAAAAGAAGAGGATAAGCTAAAAACGGTGGAAAAAAGCATGGTTTTCATAAAAATGAACACGTGTAAACATATTTCAGAAGAAGAGTCAAATTCAGTTAGAAATGAGAAGATATGGAATCTCTCACCTGTTGGAAAAGGAGCAAAAGATTTAGCACAGCCAGCCTTAATAACCTCCAAATCGTCCGAAATTACCACTGAACCATCCAAAGCAATTCCCCAATATAGCTTCTCACCTCCATCCGAACCCTTAACATAAAACAAGATAATATGAGATATCAATTTGATCTTTTGGTCTATTAATAATATTTGGTTCATGCAGTCGATCCTTTATGATATTTTGAATAACCCCTGATCTTAGAATGTGATCATTACACATTCACATATACTCTTGTATACTAAAATGATAAAATATAATGTTAGATGAAATTGTTATCCATTTAAATTAGTGACTAGTTTTTCTTGATGCATGTCATGTAGCACAACACTTTTTATTTATTTTTTTTTTAATTTTTGACAAGAGTAGCACAACACTTAAATGAACTAATGGTCATGGAAGATATGATTGGAAAAGTTTTTTTTTTTCTATATTTTTGTATTATATCAAAGAAAATAAAACTATATGAGAGTTTAGATACTTAGCTCGTTAGTGTAATAACAATGAGACAACTAATTCTAAATATATTGGGACTGTCAAAAACAAGATTATGATTACAAATTCTAAACACCATATAGAATCCTAAGATACCACTTTTCTCCATACCCAAAAAAACAAAAAAAGTATCACCTTATATTATCAGTTCATCATATTCGAACTTTTAGCAAGCGGTCAAGAAAAAGAAAATATTAAACAAGTACTACCTCCGTTACAGGTTATGTGCAACGATTTGACATAAAACACTCTGTTTTATGTCAAATCGTTGCACATAACCTGTAATTGAGGTAATATATGATTAATTACATACATAAAGTAACTACAAATTATAAAAATGGTTAATGAAATGAGGTAATTAATCATGCATAATAATAGATCTAAAAATAAAATTACCAAAAAAAGCAACTTTCTATTAATAAGAGCAAGTAAAATTACCAGAGCAGTGAAGACAGTTCCAGTCTTACTATCATAAACAACAAACCCAAATCTGCCTTCAAGATCCTTAATTACTTGATCAGCTGGGTAGGGCCCACGATCCCTAAGTGTTCTATATGCCTCAATCACCAACATAGCTTCATTTGTACTCTTTGATAATCCATATTGTTTTATCAACCCACACAAATTGTCCAAACTCCCCTTAAACAAGCAATATATATCATCATTTCCACTAAATAACCTACACAACCCAAAAATAGTCATTAGTCATTACACGATCTATCTCGTTGATATGCATATCATTCGTACATACCATACATCTTCTTCATTAAGGGTTGAAGGTTCAATGGGCACTCAAGAGGGGGGGGGGTGAATTGAGTGTTAAGTAATCGTTGGCTAATTTTGCTTCTTTTCGGATTATGTGTGAGGAACCAGTTGTGCTGGTTCCCGTACGCAGCGGAATATAAATAAGCAATAAAGAAGACAACAAATTTAACGAAATAAAATAAAGCAATAAAGAACACAACAAATTTAACGAGGTTCAGCCAACTCAGGCCTACGTCCTCCTATCCTAAGTTCTTTATTAATCTACTCCGAAAAACAAAGACAAAGAACACTCTGCTGTTCCCTACTCCGGGAACCAGCAAACCCCACACTCTACTCCGAGTGTGCTCTCGACTTACACTCGTAAGCCCAATGTGTTTGAACTCACAAACACTCACCCAGCCTTTAACCCCTTTGTTAAAGACTCAATACAAGAATCAAGAACTCCCCTTTGATCTCACTTCTACGAAGCTAATTAAGAGAAAAAGTTTAAGTACTAGAATGCTCTTGTATATGACTTGATGAATGGGATTAGTGCTTAAGTATATGCTCTCAAATAATTGCTCCTTTTAATTTCTAGAGAGGCACACGAAATATGTGAAATAAGATGAGTTTATATAAGCTTAGATTCCTAAAACCTAGTTTCCTTAAATCACACAATCTTAGAGAATAAGATATATTGTAATTTTAGGAAAGTTTTTATCTTATTTGATTTAATCACAAAGATAGAATCAATTAAGATAAATACTCCTAGTTTTTAGGTAACCAAGAATATTTCATCTTATTTCCAGCTGCACAAAATATTTTCAAAATAATCTTTTCGAAAAAATCTTTTTGTAAAATCTTTTTCCAAAACGGCAGCTCGAATACAGTGAACCTGGTTCCCCGACCTGGTTCCCTGAATTGAAACATGTTATGAAACCTGTTCCAACTTTGTACCAGATTTCATATCATACTTCAATATACTTTTAAGCACTTATATAACCCAAACATGCAAGCATACTACGGAGCATATTACATGAAAACCTAGATAACATATTAAAGCATAAATCGTCTTTTCTTCATGTAATCTTCAAGACTTGAATCTTCCTTGAATACTTCTATTATGAGCAAACAATCTTTCTTCGAAATATCTTCGAAAGGCTTCTATGCTCCAAGTCTTGGAATCAACTCAACTACTGCACATGTAACATGGTTAATGCACAATAAAGAGTATGTGACTGCTTTACCACGTAGCAACCATGGAAACAGTACATACTGGTTCCCTACCAGTACATAACACTTTTATCATATAACTGTTCCCTGTATAAAGACAAGTTAGTTCAATAAGAAAACTCATGTAAGTAATAACTTGTCTGGGGAAACAGTGTTCTATGTTAGCTGGTTCCCCCAACTGTATCGAACACTTTCAAGGACCTGTTTCCCTTAGCTGTTTGTCATCATTCAAAACTATCAATCAAAACCTAAGGGACTCAACAAATTCCCCCTTTTTGATGATGACAAACTCTTGATGTTCTTGAACCTGTGGACATGCTCAAAAAGAAAAACCGTCAAAAACTTCAAGGACTCAAAACTCTTTGGAACAAGTCAGTTAGGCCAACTGGTTCCCTAACCAGAAAATAGAAAATACGAAATAAAAAGACTCAAACTGACTCAATCTAAACTAGCTAAACCTTAGGCTTCAACTTCAGACTACTGATACCAAATTCCCCCTTTTTGATGATGACAAACTCTTGATGTTCTTGAACCTGTGGACATGCTCAAAAAGAAAAACCGTCAAAAACTTCAAGGACTCAAAACTCTTTGGAACAAGTCAGTTAGGCCAACTGGTTCCCTAAACAGAAAATAGAAAATACGAAATAAAAAGACTCAAACTGACTCAATCTAAACTAGCTAAACCTTAGGCTTCAACTTCAGACTACTTCCCCCTTTTGGCATCATTAAAAAGTATCCACAAGTAAAAGCAATGTGCACAAGTTAATGTGCTTATCCATACAATGGCATCAACCACCATTCAAGCATTATGCTGCAAAAAGAGATTAGTCAAACAGTTCATACCATAGCAGAGTTAGTAGTTCATACAAGCCAACAAAGTTCAACCAAAGAAGCCCAAATCCATCCAAAAAGAAAGTTCATGGAATGGAGAGAAGTAGACAGACCAACAAAATCAGTTATTTTAGAATAAACATGAGGGTGAGGAAACAAGAACAGAAACAGCATCACTCCTCATCATCATTCTCGTTCCCTTCCTCCTCCTCGAACTTTGCAACATCTTCTGCATCATCATCTGGTTCCTCTTCATCCCACTCAACCTTGTCATCATGCTCTACTTGAACCAATCGCATTATCTTACTAAGCATATTCTCATGGTTCTTCAATCTGTTTCAGAACCACTTCCTGACCTGCTGGTTCCTCTATTTTTTTTTTTTTTTTTTTTTTTTTTTTTTTTTTTTTTTTTTTTTTTTTTTTTTTAAAGAAAGCATGAGAGATATGTACAGATTCAGAATGTTCTCCTTGTTGCAAAACGAGTGCAAAACTGTTCTCCTTGTTGCATAACGAGTGTAAAACTAGCATCACATCAATCAAGCAAGGAGGTTCTTGCTGGTACCCTTTTTCTCTTGGTTCCTGGAACAGCGTCAATGGACTGTTCCTCCTGCACCTTCTCAGTGAACTTCTTTAATTGAGTTACTCTACTTCGTACCATGGTCTTAGCAATGGGTGTTTCCTCATAATAACCAACAATCTCTATTTCATCCTCTTCACTCTGAATTTTCTGAATTTCCTCCAACTTCGGGCTTAAGGACACTTATGCTTCCATCTGATGTTCCCCCTGAGACTGAGCTGGTTCCTTGAGTGAACAGTAACCAAATGAACAATGATGAATTTAAAGCATACGAGAGAGAGAGAGAGAATTTCGAGTGATGATGATTGATGATCTGCACAAAGGGTTAGTGTATATTTTTAACAATGAAGCACAAAGAGAGAAGAAGGAAAGAAAAGAGTTAGTTGAGCCAATAAAAAGCAACTGTAAAGGATATTTTTAAATTGAAATCAAAAATTTTGGTAATTATCTTTTACCATAATTATCTCAACCAACTATAAATAAGGCATATGATATGTTTGCCTTTTATATGGGATTAAATAACTGAAATAAGATAAATTCCTTCCAAAAGGAAATATCTTATAGTAATCTTCCAAAAATAAAAGATATTATCGGATGACATATCAGAGCTGGTCTGCTGTTTTCCTTTGCTGGTACCTGTATAGAACCATGTCACGCTGTTTCTGGCAATTCAGCCTGATTTCACCTGTTTCTTACAACAATGATTCTCAATCCTTTTGAGATTTTGAACCATCTACACAACACTTGAAAGATATCAACATAAGTATGTACACACACTATACAAGAGAATACCATTCTAACCAATCATTGAAGGAAGTAATTGAAGCCAATACCTAAAGTCTAACTAGACCTAAAAGGACTCTTAACCTACAAAAAGACTCTCTACACAAAGGCTTTGTGAAGATATCAGCAATTTGATCTTCACTTTTACAAAACAACATCTCCACCAATCCTTTTTCCACATTGTCTCTTAAAAAATGGTGTCTTATTTCAATGTGTTTTGTCTTGGAGTGTTGCACAGGATTCTTTGAAATGTTGATTGCACTAGTGTTATCACAGAAAATAGGAACACTTTTATAAATAACACCAAAATCTTTCAGCTGGTTCCTTATCCACAGTAGCTGGGAACAGCATGAAGCTGCAGCTATATATTCAGACTCTGCTGTGGATAGGGCCACTGAATTTTGCTTTTTAGAACCCCATGAAATTAGACAAGAGCCAAGAAAGTGTGCCATACCTGATGTGCTCTTTCTATCAACTAAGAAACCAGCATAATCTGCATCTGTGTATCCAATAAGATCAATGGTACTGCCTTTGGGGTACCACAATCCCAGATTTGCTGTTCCTACAAGATACCTAAGTATCCTTCTAACAGCCTTCAAGTGAGATTCCTTTGGATTGCTTTGAAACCTAGCACACAAACCAACAGAAAACACAATGTCAGGTCTACTAGCTGTTAGGTAAAGTAGAGAACCTATCATTCCTCTATAAAGAGAAGCTTCAACATCTTTTCCCTTAAGATCAGCATCTAATTTTGTAGATGGGGGAACAGGTGTATCATAAGCTTTGCTGTTCTCCATGCCGAATTTTTTCAGCAACTCTTTTAAGTACTTTTGTTGATGGATCATTATTCCATCATCCATTTGCTTAATCTGCAGCCCTAGGAAGAATCCTAGTTCTCCCATCATGCTCATTTCAAATTCACTCTGCATAAGATTAGCAAATTCATCACATAAAACCTGATTAGTAGCACCAAATAAAATATCATCAACATAAATTTGTACTACAATCAAGTGTTTCCCCCTGGTTCTTATGAACAAGGTCTTGTCTATTGTTCCCCTCTTGTAATCATTTGCCATCAAGAAATTGGACAATCTTTCATACCAAGCCCTCGGAGCTTGTTTCAACCCATATAATGCTTTGTCCAACTTGTACACATGTTGGGGGAACAGTGCATCTTCAAAACCAGGTGGCTGCTCCACATATACTTCTTCCTTTAAATATCCATTGAGGAAGGCAGTCTTTACATCCATCTGAAACAGCTTAAAATTCATGTGAGCAGCATAAGCAATTAAAATCCTAATAGCCTCTAGCCTAGCTACTGGTGCAAACGTCTCATCATAGTCAATTCCTTCTTGTTGATTGTACCCTTGCACCACTAGCCTTGCTTTGTTTCTGACTATAGTACCAAGGTCATCTAACTTGTTTCTAAAGACCCATCTAGTGCCAATGACTGATCTTTCCTTGGGACGGGGAACCAGGTGCCAAACCTGGTTCCTCTGAAACTGATTTAA